AAGCCGAGGTAGCGGCTTTGAGAAGCGAGGTGGATGAGCTCAAGAGGGAGCTACTCATATGCAAGGGAGCAATGAGTGAATGGGGTGCGCTCAAGACCTTCTTGGAAGGACTTAGACCAGGGGCGATGCTCGGGGAAGAGCAAGGTGATGCCCAGAGACTTTCGGGAGCCATAGCTGTAGCCGGAACGCTAACCGAGCTTGCTGATGTCAAGCCAAGTAGCAATGTGTCATCCAGGCCCATGCCCAGGAATAGTGGCAACAATGGGGGAGACCGGGAAATGGTGCAGCGGGGAGATGGTATAGAAAGCTCTTCAAGTGGCCAAGTTGAGCCATCGACTGTTCGCGGCCAAGGAAAACCATCGGGTAAGAATGGCAAGGCCAAGTCCGGGGAAAAGAAGAAGGCGAGCAAGGAAAAGTTGAAGTGCTACTTCTGTGATGGTCCTCACTTGATTAGAGTATGTCCCGAGAAACGTCGCCTTACAACCATCATGGAGAGGATGGGAGAAGGAGGAGTAGCAGGCATTGGCGGAGGCAGAAGAGTTCAAGCTGCCAAGTCAAGGGAAAGACTTGGTCCAATTGATGGGATCAACGCGGCCAAGCAAAAAGACAGACAAGGCAAGGCTATTGATGTTGAGACAGCCAAGCCTAGACGAAAGCCCGTTGCGATTGCGAATGATCGAGCAATCAAGTCAGGGGCAAGACTTGACGAGGCTACATGTTCCAAAGTAGCCGAATCAAGGGGAAAGCATGGTGCGACTACAAGTTCTCAAGTAGTCAAGCCAGGATCGAGACGTGACGAGACTGCGGGTGTCAAAGCAGTCGAGCACAGGAAAGGACCCGGTGCGATAGCAAGTGATAAAGCCGTCAAGCCGAGGGTGCAAAGTGAGCAGGTTCGCTCACAGTATGTCAAGATGGAGGCGTGGTCCAAGTTGAGGCGCCTCAGGCATAAGGGGACACTGAAGGAGTATGTGAGCCGATTCAGAAGACTCGTGCTCAAGGTCCCAAGTTTGACTGAAGAAGAGGGATTCTTCACCTTCATGTTCGGATTGAAGCCGTGGGCAAAGAGGGCGTTGGAGCGAAGGGAAGTCAATGAGCTATCTGAAGCCTTGACAACCGCGGAGTCCATCAAAGAGTTTGGAGTCAAGAAGAACAAGACTTCCAAAGCAAAGCCCAAAGCCGAGGGTAGCGGCAGGAGATTCCGAAAATGAAGGCAAGTCGGATGATGAGGAAGGTTGTTCCTCGAGTGGTAGGGAAAGTCCACTCAATGATGAACCAGACGGTGGATCTGGTAATGATGTGTGCACTAGTTCAAGTGACACAGATGCTAAGCCGAGGGTAAGAGTCGAGCAAGCGAAGGGGCACAAACTTGAGGTGCCAACAATGTTGCGAGATTACCCGAGGGGAGCCGAGTCATCCAAGGTGATGGATGAGCCCAGGATCGAGTTGTCCAAAGAAGAGGACGAACCAAGGATCGAGGGGGCGTTGCGACTTGGCTCAATACGGTTCATTTCTGCCAAAGCAAGTAGAGGCCAAGGGCAGACTGAGTTGACCATGTCCAAGGAATCGAGACAAGGGCTTACCGAGGACGTTCAAGAGAGGAACAATCCTTCAAAGACTCGTAGACAAGAGTCGAAGGAGGCCAAGACGTTGAGGGACAAGGCAACCATGGAGACACCACCCATTTCAAAGGTGGGAAGCGAGCTCCAACCTTCGTGTTAGAAGGGATGAAGCAAGCAGGGGCATCGGACTTTGCCGCGAGAAAGTGCCGATGCAGGATGGCGCAAAGAACTCCAATGACAAGGGTTCAATGCGGGGAGTGTCAGACTTCATTGAGCAAGAAGGGCTGACGCAAAAATTTGAGCAAATGCCAACTAAATCAGAGGGGAAGGTACATCTCAACACTATTCTTGTGTTTTTGTGAGCTTGATTTGCAATTTCAAGTGAGTGTAGGTCGGGCAAGACCTAACTCTTAACGCGGATGGAACAAAGTTTGGATGGGATCCAAGACTTTGCCGCAAGGGACAAGGAGGTCCAAGTCGAGGCAAATCAAGACTTGTAGGAATGAGTTCCTACGGAAGAGATGCACTTGTGGGCGTGTTAGCCCGTTTCATCACTTGGCGGCAAGAGCCGATGCGAGCACAGCCATTATGGGAGGCTAAGTCCTTATGGGGGGGACATGAGCAAGCGAAGGCGTCGAAAGGCAACCAAGTTGATGTGAAGTATGGCGCGAAAGATCGGGAAGTTACAAGCCAAGGCAAGCAGTTCGTATGGGAGAACCGCGACAAGCCAAGGCCCTGAAGAGTTTCCAAGATGGTGTTGCCCAGGATCGTCGAGTGCAGCGACGAGGGCGTCGCTAGGTTCGGTGGGGGAGAATGTCACGGGCTAGAAACTTGGGTCCGAGACATCGGTGTAAGCGTCCGACCAAGAGGTTCAATACTGAGAATCGGGCTTACCGTGACCACCAGACTTAGCCAATTCTTGGAGAATGCTTAACAAGTCCGTGAAGGATCTATTCCGAGGCGTCCGAGGAGCGACGAGGGCGATGGGGGCAGTGTTGTCGAGGCTCGTGGATTCGAACCGAGACATGTGAGCAGATATCTGTAAGAGAATTATACAGACTATTGGGCTTGCCCAGAACCATCAGATCTGGCCCATTCCTTGGAGGATTCTAGAAGGATAATGTTAGGTGGGATTTCCTTGATTTAAGGGATTGGGTTAGGTGGGAATCAATCCTAGCCCTTCATGTAAAACGATCTTAGCCATCGATTGAGAGGGAGCTCCCCTATAAATAGAGAGCTCTCCTCCTCATTTGTAATCACCCAATTCCATTCTTCTCTTTGTGAGAGAGTAATAAAGCTCTGAGGCATTTGCTCTATTCTTTCCGAGTTCTTAGTTCTTTGTTCTTGTTGCCTATCTCGGTGGCCAGGAGTAGCCACCTTCGTGTTAGCACTTCCACACGATAGTCCGACCTTGTCGGCATTCTAAAGCTTCCGCAATCCGAAGCCTTGAGGGCTTGGTTCCAACCTTTGTGAGTTTGCACACTCACTTAGCTTGGGTAAGGCTTACTTAGTCGCCGAGAAGACCGAGGAGCGTCTAAAGCGTCTAAGGCCGCACGACCCGTCAGACCTTGACTCTGATATTCCGACGGTGTGAGGCGTCGAAGTTCTGGGGGCGTGACAATATTATAAAGCTAACCATGATAAGATTTTGCTCGAATCGAAGGGTCCATAATGCCTCAGACCATTCCGGGCTAGTTAAATTCCTAAGATATATTCCATCGGCCATGACACTACCGTTTAAGTGTCAACGTTCTAAGTTTGCGCTTTTAGTTATGGGATAAAATAATATTTAGTCATCGAAATTTTATATAGATTTCTAAGTTTTTTTGACATTTTTATAACATTTTTATTATTAATCCATTTGATATCATGAACATAATTTCAAAGTTTTATGCCATCCCAAAAATTCAAATTTAAGAACTAATATAAAAAAAAAAACCAGAATCAAATTAAAAAATATATTAAATTTAAAAACTGAATGTTCCTTTATCCTTTTAGCTAATTACACTCTTAAATTTTATTAAAAATATGTTTAAATTCAAACCTTCAAATCAGCAGTTTAGTGATATAATTGAAAAGAAGAATAGTTTAGTGATCAAAACAGAATGAAGAGGATAGTTTAATGACGTTAGGAGTAGCTTACCCAAATTAAGAAAAGGTATCCACTGCAAACGCGTGGTAATGTAATTAACCGTACAGGAGACGGGAACGCAAAAGCTTCTTCAATTTCCAGAGTTATCCGGACCGTCCAAAAGCTAATGGGGCCCAATGCTTTATTGGCATGACAGTCTCGATCCGTTTCGACCTCGTCTTCAGATATTCCAGACAGCTTAAATAGACACGCGCGAGTAGTGAGCAATATATAAATATTTTATGTAAACTTTTAATTTACGACATATAGTATAATTTATTTTACATTATATTGATTTAAATTTAAATTTAAATTTATTTTGACAATGAATCACAAACTTTATCATTTGAGGGCAGGTTTGTCCACTTGAACAATAAATAGTTGACTCGGTGATCTCCCAACGAACACACGCAACCGGTCATGAAATTGTTAACGATTTTAATTTTAGTTATTAAATTTTAGTTTGTGTTAATTTGGTCTCTACATAAAATCATCAATTTATTAGGCCACTGTTATCATCAGTAGTCGTCCGTTATCATTCTTTATTCGTAACAAGAACAATTAGAATATAAGCATTTCAGTTATAATTTTTTTCTTCAAAATTTTTTCCACAAAACTCACTGAAAACGACAATAAAACATTTAAATATTCGACGTTTTAATGCTATGATATCCTCCAACAATCTTTCGATAAGATTAATTTTGATAAAATTAATTTTAAAATATGTTGTTTATATTCTCAAAAAAATGTTTCTCACTATTTGAATTTTCGAATAAATCCCTTAATAAATCTCTTAAACTCAAAAAACAATAATTTTATATTTAATTTCATAAATAAAAACATTAAAAATATAATTCCATAAATTGATACAAGAGGACACATTGTTTGACGTGCTCATTTTGATAATTAATTATAAAATTGATAAAATACACAAATAACCTCTAAACTATGTTAAAAACGATTTTTTAAGGCACAACAAATTTAAAAATTATAAAATAATCATAACTTATTAAATAGTTATAAAATTTATCATTAAATTTTATTAATTTAATATAAAATAATTATTAAAATGTATCATTATTTTATAAAATATAGTAATGATTAATTTATAATAATTTAATTTTTAGTAATTATTTTGAAAATTGTATTGATAAAAAATATTTTCAAAATAGTTACTATATATTATAAACACTTGTGATTTCCTCTATCAAAAGGTTTAAGACTAACACGTGGCAATCAACAGTATTAGTTACCTCTTCGTCCTCTTCTCTGACCTTATAAGAACGAATTCAAGCCCACCAACACCAACGTTTGATCGTTTTTGAAGGAAAAAAAAATTCTAAATCGATTTTTAGTCTAGTTTGAAGAAATTAAATTTTGCCCAAGTCTCTTTCGTGTTCATTTAAGGTGATTTTCTGACAAAAAGGGTGAAAAATATGGTGGCTGAAGCCGAGGTTGTTTGTCAACAGAGCGTGCCGGTGTTGGACGTTTCGTTCTTTCATAAAGGAAGTAATATCGGGGAGATTGATGAAATCGTTGCGATTTCGTCGCCAGTTTCTTCACCTAAGTTCCGACAAGTTCGTGTAGCTGCTGAGTCGGTTGCCGCCGATTTATCCACCGCTCAACTGGTTAGACATTTCCCCAGTTTTTTTTTTTTTGTATGTATGTTAAGAACTTGAATTTTAATGGCTGTTGAATCATAACTAAGTTTCTTAATGAAATATAAATATGCTAGGTTTTATTTTCTTGGGATTTAGCTGAGATGATTCACTATTATATTTCTGTTTATGTACAACTTCCAAAGGAAAATATGTTCATCGCTTGTATCTTTGGGAATTACGATCCATTGATTTTTCTGTGTTAGATTTTTGAGAAAATATGTTTAAATTGTTAAGTTTATAACCTGGGCGATTGAATTTACGTTGTTAAGTTTTGACGAGGATTTATCTACCAATTTTTTAGCCGAGTGTCGGGAATTAAAACTGGATTTGTTTAGCTTTTCCACTGCTAATTGGAGAGCCTTTAAATTGCTAGTATATATTTGTTTGCTATTATATCAATAATTTAAAGTTTAAACCTTTCAAGGGTCATTGATTTTTTTTCCTTTTCCTATTACAGGATGTGAAATCTTTAGATGAAGTCCCAGTTGAATCTACAGTACAGCAATATGTCCCGAGTATCCGTTCGGGTAGCTTTGCTGACATTGGACCGAGGAGATACATGGAAGATGAACATATTAGAATAGATGATCTATCATCACATTTGGGATCCCTTTTCAAGTTTCCTAAACCTAGTGCTTTTTATGGGGTAATTATTGTTTCTAGCTGTTGCTGCTGCTGCCTTTAATTCGATTCCCTTGTACAGAGTTAAAACTAATGTAGTTTCACTTTGTATCCAGGTGTTTGATGGTCATGGGGGTCCTGAGGCAGCAGCATATATAAGGAGAAACGCCCTTAGATTATTTTTTGAGGATGTCGATTTTCCCCATTCATGTGACGTTGATGATGATTTCTTGGAAGGGATCGAGAACTCATTCCGGAAATCATTTCTTCTTGCTGACCTAGCTCTTGCGGATGATTTTACTGTGAATAGCTCTTCTGGAACAACAGCACTCACTGCTCTTATATTTGGGAGGTATCTGTGTGCGTCATGGCATTGGTTGCTTTCTTTTTCACTTTTGATTATTCTTGAATGATGTTCTAAAGTTTAATTCTTTGCCTGACGTCTTGTCTGTGGTTTAGGCTTCTAATGGTAGCCAATGCTGGTGATTGCCGAGCGGTTCTCTGTCGAAAAGGGGAGGCAATAGATATGTCTGAGGACCACAGACCTATTTATCCATTAGAACGGAGGAGAGTGGAAGAGCTTGGTGGGTTCATTGATGATGGATATCTTAATGGAGTTCTATCGGTTTCCCGAGCCTTAGGGGATTGGGACATGAAGTTCCCAAAGGGTTCTTCTTCACCTCTCATTGCAGAGCCCGAGTTTCGCCGGGTGATTCTGACAGAGGACGATGAGTTCCTCATCATCGGATGTGATGGGATTTGGGATGTCATGTCTAGTCAACATGCAGTTAGCATAGTTCGCGGAGGATTACAAAGGCATGATGACCCTGAGCAGTGCGCTAGAGACCTTGTCATGGAAGCCTTACGTCGCAACACATTCGATAATCTCACTGTCATCGTTGTATGCTTCTCTGAACCTGATCACTGTGAGCAACCATCTCCTCGTCAAAGAAGATTTTGTTGTAGCCTCTCTGCAGAAGCCCTGTGTAGCTTGAGGAGCTTGTTGGATGGTAATGCCAATCGGTGATCCTAAGTTTGATTTCTAAATAACATTCAACCTGGAATATTATATTTATACACTGTTTCTGGCTGCTTCAGTTAGAGATACATAAAAGCAGCTAACAGTTTTGCGGTGGTTGGTTTTATATTTATGTTGGATTACGGGTGGATGTACATAGAGAATGGTGGTGTAAATGCTGATCTGATCTATTCATGTGAGCTTAGTAGCTCAAAGACATTCTTTGTTTCTTTTACTCAAAATCCAGGTGCCCTTTAATTGGTGTATTTCATTGTTCATTCGTGAGATATATATATTGTCAATGAAGAACCAAATTTCAATTTATGTCTTTCTTTTCAAATTTCCCAAGATGGCCATATCCTTTCTTGGAGCTCAACACAGCCGGTACTTTGCCAGGTAAATAGAGAATGGTTGTGTAAATGTTGATTTGATCTATTCTACGAGCTTAGTAGCTCAAAGACATTGGATTATTTTACACAAAATTCAGGTGCCCTTAAGTTGTTACTTAATTGTTCATTCGTGAGATGTATGTATGTGCATATATATTGTCAAAAAAGATCCAAATTTCCATCGATGTCTTTCTTCTCCAATTTTCCAAGGTGGCCATATCCTTTCTTGGAGCTTAACACACCAGGTACTTTGCCATGGCTGTGGTTCACATCTCTTACTTTGGAATATATGCACTAATCGTAGAAGCAAAAAAATTCAATCTTCCCAAGATTGCTCCCTCATTAATTTGTTTGATAGTGTGCTTTGTTTACATGAAAATGGGGACACTCATCACATCCATTCTCTCAACAGATAATATCACATTTACTATAAATATAAGGTTTTTGCCATTTGTTTGCTTCTAGCCATTTTTTCTTTGGATGTCGGATAAATGAAAACAGAGATTCCATTACCTGCTAGCAACAAAGAACCCTAAACTCTAGCATGTATATAGAGCACTTAAAACTAGAAGGCCATACGAAGTTCATAACATGATCCGACTATAAAGAAAGATAAAGGAGCCATAAGCTTGGGAAATTCGGAAGATAGGAGGGAGACATTGTCACACGACTGTAATAGCCTACCATCTTGCACCAAGACTGTTTCGGCTTATCAGGAGAGTCCGGTTAAATCTTATTGAACTATGGCATAAGGGAAAGGCAGGATAAAACAATATATTGTATCTAATGCTGATTAAAGCCTTGAACTATATAAAATTTCATCTAGAGGCAGATTCCAACTCCGCTTACCAACAAAAGTTAGAAACATAAAAATGATGATTTAAAACTAAATTTGCAACAATGGTAAAACAACCCAGCTTTGTTCTCCTTAGCACTTCCCACGGTAAAACAAAAGATGACATACTAAAGAACAACTCTGCAAAAAGCCCAGGTGATATGCAAAAATAGCTAATCATTACCCTAAAATATCGGTTTAATCAGACAAAGATAGTATATCTTAGGCAAAAAATCACCAATAAAACAATATAAAGCAGAAAAGCAACACGATTGGATTCAAACGGCTGAAATGGCAATCAAAGCTCCGAATATCATATCCCAATAATTATAACATATTCAAGCATACCAAAATTATCTGTATCAAATAAAGTTACAACCATCACTGATAATGAAATCTTAATGCCCATATAGAAAATAACCTAAAGATCCATTCTTTGAAACGAGCCGAACCAAAGGTTGAACCCACTCAATCCCCACCAGCCTTCTGGTAAACGTAAGTGAGCCCGCACTTACCGCAGTAGTGCCTATCGAAATGGTTAGCCATGAAAGTCCCGGCGCCGCACTCTGCATTAGGGCACTCTTTCCTCAGCCTCTGAACCTTCCCGGACTCATCCACCTTGTAAAACTGTAGCACCGCGAGCTTGACCTTCTTCTTCTTGTGCTTAATCTTCTTGGGCTTGGTGTATGTCTTCTTCTTCCTCTTCTTGGCGCCACCCCTCAGACGGAGGACGAGGTGGAGGGTTGATTCCTTTTGGATGTTGTAGTCAGCTAAGGTGCGGCCATCTTCGAGCTGCTTGCCGGCGAAAATGAGACGTTGTTGGTAGGGTGGAATGCCTTCTTTGTCCTGAATCTTAGCTTTGACATTGTCGTTGGTGTCCGAAGATTCAACCTCTAGTGTTATGGTCTTCCCTGTTAGGGTTTTGACGAAGATCTGCATTTTGGGGTGTTCAATGGCAAAGGAAATATGGAGTTCGACTTAGATTCTGAAAACTCGAAATGAATGTTAGGTCTTCATATATGAAGGTGAAAATTGGGGGTTTTCTGGAAAATGAAAGTATATAATTGGCCATGTTTTTTTTTTTTGAGGTTTGGATTTTATTTTGTCTAAATTACACGGGAGACCACCAAACTACGGTCATTAATTAATTTTGTCATTAAACTATTTTTTGTCTCAATTCGACCACCAAATTTTTAATTAATTTAATCAAACCACTCTCCGTTTAAAAAAACGGACTTGCTGACGTGTACGTTAATAAAACTGGCATAATTACATATTTGATCTTTAATATTGGAATAATTATACATTTGGTCCTTAATATTTATATATTCTATCAATTTAGTCATTATTTCAATTCAATTAAATAAATTTAACTATCCAATTAGAACATGACACATGTCAATATATGATTGGAAAGTTTTATTTATGAATTTTAAATTATTTAATTTAATAATTTTTTATCCAATCAGATGGTGACACGTGTCACCACCCCAATTGAAATGGAAAATTGAAGAACAAAGGTTAAAACCAGGGAGGATCGAACTTGTTCCTTTAGGGGAAGATTAACTAGCGCGGCCAAAATTCCCCAATGGTTTTAACTTACAACAATTTGTATTTGACTTCTAAAAGTTTGTTAATGATAAAAACAATGAAACAAATCATTTGTTTAAATAAATTAATTTTTCTTTAACCGTCAAATAAAACCAAAATTGATTTGAAAATTATTAATCGAACTAAATCCACCAATTTTTTTCTTTAACATTAATCGAACCAAAATTTCGGTTCGATTAATGTTAAAGAAAAAAATTTGGTTAATTTGGTTCGGTTAATAATTTTCAAATAAATTTCGGTTCGATTAACGGTCAAATAATTTCTTTTCGATTAATGTTAAAGAAAAAAATCGGTGGATTTGGTTCGGTTAATAATTTTCAAATAAATTTCGGTTTGATTAACGATCAAATAATTTCGGTTCGATTAATGTTAAAGAAAAAAATCGGTTGATTTGGTTCGGTTAATAATTTTCAAATAAATTTCGGTTCGATTAACGATCAAATAATTTCGGTTCAATTAATGTTAAATAAAAAAATCAGTTGATTTGGTTCGGTTAATAATTTTCAAATAAATTTTGGTTCGATTAACAGTGAAATAATTTTGGTTCGATTAATGTTAAAGAAAAAAAATCGGTGGATTTGGTTCGGTTAATAATTTTCAAATAAATTTTGGTTCGATTAACGGTCAAATAATTTCGGTTCGATTAATGTTAAAGAAAAATTAATTTATTTAAACAAATAATTTGTTTCATTGTTTTTATCATTAATAAACTTTTAGAAGTCAAATACAAATTGTTGTAAGTTAGAACTATTGGGAAGCTTTGGCTCAACGGTTTGAGAGCTGGTTAATCCTCCCCCAAAGGTACAGGTTTGATCCTCCCTGGCTGCAACGTTTGTTCTTCAATTTTCCATTTCAATCGGGGTGGTGATACGTGTCACCACCTGATTGGATAAAAAATCATTAAATTAACTAATTTAAAATTCATAAATAAAATATTCAAATCATGTATTGACACATGTCATGTTTTAATTGGATAGTTAGATTTATTTAATTTAATTAAAATAGTTACTAAATTGATAAAATATGTAAATATTAATGACTAGATGTATAATTCTGCAGTTTTATTAACAGACACGTTAGCAAGTCCCTTTTTTTTAACGAAGAGTGGTCTGATTGAACCAATTAAAAAGTTTGGTGGTCGAATTAAGATAAAAAATAGTTAAGTGACATGATCGATTAATGACTATAGTTTGGTAGTCTCCCATATAATTTACCCTTTTATTTATCTTTTTCGAAATAAGTTTTTTTAAGCATTTGATAAGTGTAAAATGGGTCATTTATTATGAGACGCGACCATTTTAAGAAGCCTAGTAGAGCTTAACGACGACAAAAGTTTATAGTGTTTTATTGTAAAATATAATTAAATATGTATAACTAATTTAAATGATATATTATGTCTTAATAATAATTAAATATAATATTATTAAATTTCGATCAATATAGACTGATCATTATAATAATCATTATAAACGTCATATTTTGAAATGCTTATTTGAATCTTAATTTTTTATTAAAGTTTCACGACACGGTCGTAAAAGACATCATCATCATTCGACCGTCTCGCTATTTGTATTCAATTTATTTAAGGGTAAAATATAGTAATGGTCACTGAATTTTTCTAAAGCTTTCATTTAGGTCTCCTAACTTTTAAAACTTACAATACGTCCTCTAACATTTAGTCCGTCTGCAATATGGTCTCGTCGTTACATTGCTGTTAGTACGTTTGTAATATGGTCACTGAACTTTTCAGGAGCTTACATTTAGATCTTTCAACTTTTAAAACTTGCAACACAGTCCTTATCATTCTAAACCCCAAATTCCTTTTTGATCTCGAATTTCTTTTTTCACTTCTCTCTTCTCATTTCCAGCGTAACTTTTCAGTCGGGGATGCATGGGAAATTCTAATATAACTTTGAATTATGTTGAGGTGTTGACTTGAATAAGGGTTCATTGAGAGAAGACCCGACCAAAGGACTATCAAGACCATCGACAATTCAAGGTGTAATGTTAGATACATGTCATCTTAAGTGAAACATAGATGTTCGATGAAATGCTTGTGAGAAAAAAATAGGGTTAGAAATGCAGAGTTGATAAATATTACTAAGATGAACTAAGTATCATTGTTGAAAGTCACCGACAAAGCTAGAATTATTTTGTATAAATGGTATATAATAATTTCTTCGTTTGATCCTTGTTGTTAAAGAGTTTCCAACAGATTATCAAATATAATGAAATCCTAAACAACGCGTTCACCTCTCAATCTCTTTTGCTCACATGCACTCTCGTTTGGTTTTTGTTATTCAATTTTCCGCCATGTAAAATTGTAAACCCAAGCAGTGTTCTGTCTTTCAATTTTTTATTTACAAAGAAAAAATGGAGGAAGAATTGTTGGAACGCAAAACTGATTGCGTTTATTTCTTAACCTTTCCCCTCACTTGCAAGAAGGTATTTATTTTCTCTTTTGGGTTATCTGAAAGTAAGTTTTTTCTCTTTTGCACTTTCCCATTTTCTGCTCGCATTGTGTGTTTTTTGTTGAAATTCTTATGTTTCTGCAACTGCATGTCAATGATCTGGATATTCAGTGTTAGTTTTGAACCAAAACCATCTAATTTTCTTTCTTTCTTCTTAATCAAAACTTTTAGTACTCCTTATGAATGATATTCAGTCTATCAGAATAAAAGTGAAAGGTCCTAGGCTAAATTTTTTTATCTTTTTGTTTGGTTTTTCTTTAAATCAGGGAATTGGTTGTGAGTATCAACATAGTGAAATCGCCAGGCTCAATCCGAGAGACTGCTGGTACTAGTTTACTGGGAATTGTATTGATCCGACCTATGGTTTTCGACGTCATGTGAGCTCATATTCTTTTTAATAAGTTCATGTTGATTATGGGACTGATATATCGTGAACGAATTAGATTTTTTTTACATGTTTTGGAAATTGTACATTTGAATTGTATTGAATTATAGCTTTAGAAGTCAATTTTGCATGCACACAACTCGAAAGACATCATGACAGTTTAATATATTTGGAGCAGCTACTTGACCATGTCATGATGCCTTTCAAGTTGCGAAAGAGACCGAGAGGCGAATGCACTTTTTTGGGATTTCATTATACTTGATCATCTGTTGGAAAATCTTTAACCATAAGGATTAAACGAAGAAATTATTATATGTCATTTAAACAAAATAATTCCAACTTTGTTGGTGACTTTCAACAATTATACTTAGTTCATCTTAGTAGTATTTGTCAACTCTGCATTTCTAACCCTATTTTTTTCTCACAAGCATTCCATCGAACATCTATGTTTCACCTGAGATGACTTGTATCTAATATTACACCTTGAATCGTTGATGGTCTCGATAGTCCCTTGGTCGGGTATTCTCTCAATGAACCCGTATTCAAGTCAACACCTCCACGTAATTCAAAGTTATATTAGAATTTCCCATGCATCCCTACTGAAAAGTTACGTTGGAAATGAGAAGAGAGAAGCGAAAAAGGAAATTTGAGATCGAAAAGGAATTTAGGGTTTAGAATGAAATTGAGGATTGTGTTGCAAGTTTTAAAAGTTGGGGGACCTAAATGTAAGCGTTTGAAAAGTTCAGTGACCATATTGCAAACGTACTAACGGCAGTGTAACGACGGAGACCATATTACAAACGAACTAAATGTTAAAGGATTGTATTGCAAGTTTTAAAAGTTGGGGGACCTAAATGAAAGCTTTAGAAAAGTTCAGTGACCATTACTATACTTTACGCTTTATTTAAATAGACTAAAAGTTTTTATTTGATTTTTATATGTCTTGAGGTTAGATGATGTTTTATTTATTTTAGTTTTTAGAGTAAAAATATATAACTCATTTAATACAAATATTTTATATTTAATAAAATAAAAACAATTAAATCTTTTTTATAAAAAATGAGATTAATTAATATATACAATATTATAATAATTATTTCAAATAAAATTCAAGTTATTTTTTATTCTGGAATTTAATTTTAACTTAGTTTCAACCTTCTCTTCGACAAAAATATATTTCAATTTATTTATTACAAAATTTAATTTTATAAGTAATTTGCCTTTGCTGATTGTATTGGTCTAAAGCCCTAAGGAAATAATATTAATTTCATCTATCAACGTTTCTCCCAAAGAATTTTACTATCGCCAGCCAACGCTCACCTCCGGTGGGTAATCCTTGCGCCGTCAGCTGCAATCAAAATCTGATGTAATCAACTAATTCGCTAAAAAGACTATTAAATCTGATCTATTGCCTATAATTCTGAATTACTTCTTTCTCTGCCAAAAAAAATAACCCCTAGATTTTCTTTTTGTTTAGCTGCATCAATTTTCAATCGATCGATAAAGCAATCAGGGTTTCGGAGAATATTATCAAGAAACGGAAATGGACGACAGCTGTGCGGTTTGCGCTGACAATTTGGAATGGGTTGCCTACGGCGCTTGTGGTCATCGGGATGTTTGCTCCACGTGCGTCTCTCGTCTCCGCTTCATATGCAACGATCGCCGCTGCTGCATCTGCAAAACTGAATCCAACGTCGTCTTCGTCACTAAGGTTAGGGCTATCCCTCCTATTAGGATTGTTCCAGATCTCATGTTTGAATTAGAGTTCTGGTTTTCCTCTGATTTACTAATTAGGTAAAAAACCGAATCTTTAACAGCTGAGTTCGAGTTCTTTTGTTTTAACTTTTCCTATAAAATGTATCCTCAAGTTAGAATCGTTATTAGCATTGTGGTTCTGTTCCAGGCATTAGGGGATTATACTAGGATGATAAATGACTTCTCAGTGTTGCCATCTGATGCAAGAGAAGGACGAGTGGGTTCCTATTGGTACCATGAGGATACACAAGCCTTTTTTGATGACGTTGATCACTACAGAATGATCAAGGCAATGTGCAGGCTTTCATGCAGTGTATGTGACAAGATGGAAGAGCAGGACAATGATGGGGCAATACGGCGTGGGAAGTTTCGGAATATTGAACAGCTGAAAGGTCATTTGTTTCATCGACATAAATTGGTTATGTGTAGCCTTTGTTTGGAAGGTCGGAAGGTGAGGTTAATATGTAACAGCTTTAAGGAAAATGTGACTATGGTGTAGCATTGTTCCTTTTTTGATGAATTGATTGTTTTTCTATTAACAAAAGCTGTGTGTTCATTGATGTAGGTATTTATCTGTGAACAAAAGCTGTATACCAGAGCACAGTTAAATCAACATATAAACACAGGTGATTCTGAGGTGGATGGAACTGAGAGTGAGAGAGGCGGCTTCATGGGGCATCCAATGTGTGAATTCTGCAGGACTCCATTTTATGGGGATAATGAGCTGTATTCACACATGTCTACAGAGCACTATACATGTCATATATGCCAAAGGTAGTGAGGCTAATTCTAGTATAGATTTTAGAACTTAAAAAGTGAACTTTTTTTTTGGCATGGTTCAATTTTTATTGTTCAATGCAGGCAGCATCCGGGACAATATGAATATTACAAGAATTATGATGACCTTGAGGCAAGATGACTTATAAGTTTCTTCGGCTATTCTTTTTTTTCCCTTCTCCTTTCCTTGTAAATTAAAATGGAATTTCAAAAATTGTTTGCTTCAGCTTCATTTCCGCCGAGATCATTACTTATGTGAGGATGAGGCTTGCCTTGCCAAAAAGTTTATTGTTTTCCAGTCTGAAGCTGAACTGAAGGTGATGTCTTGGGCATATATATATTTTTTCTGTCCTCATTATTTGAGTATGTCCTTAGTATAGCTCATTTTTTTTGTTTACTTAAAAGTTCTTGTTTTTTCGTTCTTACCCTTTCAGAGGCATAATACCATTGAACACGGAGGCCGCATGTCTCGAGCACAACGTAGTGCTGCTTTACAAGTATGTATCATCCATCTAAATAATAGGCTTCACATAAGTTTGATTTTCTCCAAATTATTCTCTGATATACATCCATTTGTAGATGAGTTGGTTACTTAGTTCTTTTGTTAATTAATTGTACTTTTGCTAGATTCCAACAAGTTTCCGGTATCGTCGAAGTAACGAAGATAATCGCCGTGGAAGGGGTCGAACATTTCGGCGTGAAGCATCTGATAATGACTATGAACTTTCAATGGCCATTGAGGCAAGTTTGGGGATGGCAAGTGATCCTCCAGCATCATCGTCTACAGCACAGGCGGTCTCTCATCACAGTGACACAAATGATTTTGATCTGCTTGTTCAACCTTTTGAATCGTTATCTACAACAGATGCTGAAACATCTTCAAGATATCTTCAAGCATTGGGTGCAAGCACTAGGGGTGGACCTTTGCAAGAATCTTCTTTTCCTCCTCTTCCCATGGCCCCCAGCACCAGTCAACAAAAGTCTAATCATAGCTCAGGTTTGCCTAATAACACCATGGCAGCACGTCTACGGCGCCAGAAGAATGGGAATAAAAGTGTTTTGAGTTCTGCTCAAGCATGGCCAGCAGCAAGTCATAGGACTGCGCAAGAATCAAGTAGTTCACGTCAGGTTAGATCAGCAGCAAGTGTTGCTGCTATAACATCACTTGCTAATGGTAATGGTAATGTTAACAGGGCTGCACAGTTGGGTTATGCCAGCTCCACTCATGCACAGGTTCCAGCTCAGTCTCAGGCCCAGGCCCAGGCTCGACCCACAACAGCAGATATACTACTATCATCTGGTTCTCGGACAAGCTCAGCCAACATGCATAGGATTAGCCACTCTTCATCAGCTCCGAATCTCCATGATGTTAGATATTCAGAACCATCTGCGTCTGATTTTCCTCCAGTTTCTGCCGCACAAAGGCACAAGCAATCCTCAAGCAACCAGGTGCTGACACATATGGAAGAAGTTCGTTCAGCCAATAAATCTTTGGTGGAAAAGATGCGAGCTGCTCTTCAATATGATGAAGAAAAATATACTGCTTTTAAAGAGATATCTGGACAGTATCGTCAGGGCTTAATAGGCACAAACAGATATTTGGATTATGTACAACAGCATGGCTTGTCACATTTAGTACTTGAGCTGGCTAGACTCTGCCCTGATGCTCAGAAGCAGAAAGAGCTAATTGACACCTATAATGCTCGTTTACAAAGCAATGGTCTGGAAGAGAATGGTGGGGGCCAGGGCAGTGTGTGGTTGAAGGAGAAGGATGCCTCTAAGAAAGGGAAAGGGAAGTCTGTCGATGCTGCAGGCAGTAAATCAAAGGATATTCTGGCAGATAGTATTCTGAGCAGTGTCCACAAATTGCAGTCAAGTTATAAGATTTCTGAAGAAGAGGTGGAAGTGCTATCGAAGGACGGTTACCGTCCTTCCAAAGGCAAAGCAAAGGTGATGGTTGAGGAACAGCAGGTGCAACTAAATTCAAGCAATCAGCCATCAATAAAAATCGGGGGCCAAAATGAGTCCTTACATGTGAAAGTTGGGTCAGGGGATGGAAGTGGTGGCATCAAGCAGCGAAAGAAAACTTCAAAATTTCACCGAGTGCGGCTTGGAGATGGTTCAATGGCATCACTACTCGATCTCAAAAATCCTGAGCCAGACCCTGAACCATTGGATGACAAGGATGATTGCAGTCAGAATTCAACTGGAGCATTGCCTATACGGGGTGTTTGGAAGAAGGGAGCGAAAAATCTCTTTTCATGATAGGTGATAATGCCAAAATCTTACCAGAAGATGGCGTTTGGCTTACCTTTTTTTTTTTAAATGACCTGAAAGTGCTGTCAAACGAGATCGAGTTTTGCTATGATGTTCTTGAAAGCTGTCAATAGATGGAGAAGATTCTATTAATTGCATGGGTTTTTAAGGATTTGCAGGAATTTTTTCTACTTCTGATGAGTAACCACTATCACATTTTGCCCAACATGCTAATTATTTCAAGGTGACAATGATCATGGAGTCTAGACATGTTTGTTACTAAGTTAAGAATACAAGGTTGAAGACTTTTGGTTTGTTTTATAATTTTTATTACTTGTAAAAATTCTTGGTTTGTCTTCATATATGCCTTCTTAGTCCTTGTTCCTTTTACTTTGTTTCCTTGCCGTGCAAATAATTCCTTTGCTCTTATTCAGATTTTGGAATTGAATTAATCTAACTTTGATACAATGACAAGTTGGATTGCTGCCTGCTTAAATTTGGTTTGTTGGATCTTAGGAAATTCCACTGGTAAAACCATATCGGTCAAGCTCAAATAAAACTGTTTACAGTAGTTAAAATTGTTGAACTTGAGATATGCTACAAAACCAAATTAATTGGCTGAGTTTTCACAATCCAAGGTTTTCCTCCTGCTGTAACACATTCAGGAATCCGTCACCCTCTTTGAATGATTCGTAGGCTCGATCCATTCGAGTAGCTGTAAACATGGTTCATAATCGAGGATCTCAGAAAATGTTGGTCGAAACAGAATTGCATGAAAGAAAACATATCATATACTCCATAATCTTATAACTACTCATCTCTGTGAATGAATAGTCCACAGAAGGAAACCCATTAATGAAGTTCCCACTTTGGGTTGGATTCGATTTTTCTCTTCCCTATGATCTGATAATGCCAAAATCTTGACAATTAAACGAAGTTAAAACAAATTTACCAATCAATCCATTATTGACAGGTGTTTCTGGCATTAGGCAGAGTTTACCAAAATGAATAACAAGGTAGAAAGACCATAAAAGCATGCAGTTGATAAGAGGAAATCCTTGGTGGACCATGGCTGCAAAAGGTGGGGGTTAGTTCTTTTAGCCGTAAGCAGGTAATCGTTTTTCATGAAATGGGTTATTGGCCATGGCGGTGCAGTTAAGTTGAGTGGAGCCAATAAAATGCTTTGCCAATATAAGGAGACGATTGTTTCACTTCCAGGAGAAGTGCCTTGGAACACAGCTCATTTAACCTTAACCAGAATGGAGGAACCATTGCTACCTTGACTGGAGAGTTCAACCAAAAGAAGGCGATTGTAATTCAAAGTCCAAGGTTGCCTTGATGGCTTCCTCCATTGTTACTTAAACAAAAACTTGTCAAATTTATTTCCTTCAATCGGATGAGATCATGAAAGTAAAGACTCATGACTTGGTCCATCAGTACTGTTCTACCTTCTCCAAAAACATTTCATGTTAATAATTGCCACATAATACTCTACTCATCTCAACAATAAACTATAAATAATAAGAAAATGACGTAAATACATGAGATTTGAATTTTTACTCATCTCAACAACCATGAACCTCCGACACGTGGCGGTTGTTCACCCAATATTTTTGGAGTCTTGGTGTAAAGAAGTCCATTATAGACTACATTCCCTTTTCCTAATTCATATATTAGTGCCTTTGCCTAGTTGTCGCCACATCATCTTGTGGGCAGCCTCCATGATCGGCTTATGGCTCTCGGCTCGCTCACTCGGTCCATTATAGACCAATATAATATTAATTTCTGGATTCTCTGACTTAGAATTTACATCCTTCAGATGCAAATTTTGTTGAAATTGACCAACTCCAAACGTTTTTTTTATCATATTTAATTGGTTAATTTTGTTTCATGTCCTTGTAGTCTTTGTACATATGGAATTTAGTCTATTTTTTTATTTAAAACTTTTAGTTCAGTTGTCAACATTATTAAAATAGACCGGTTAAATTCACTAAATTCAATTGATAATACCTGAACTTAGCTGTTGAATTATGTAAGTTTTGAATTCACTGGTGTTAATAAGTAGACTTTGAACCTGATTTTTTAAATAAAAAAGTAGATGAATTACATTTCTAAAAATAAAAATTGAGGGACTAAATTTAAATATACAAAAACTACAAGCCTTGAAGCATATTTCTAGTAATAGTTGGCTATAATAATTACATTAACAATATGAAACTTTAAAATCTTGGTCACTGATTTATTCTCTTGTGAAAATTACATTTCAAGTTGATTGTACGAATCAAACGACCTCAGTGATTAAATTGTTATTTTTTTAGGTCTCGAGTTTAAACATCACATATGCAAAGTTGTATGATATCAAATAGTTGAAAGTTGAATATATAGTATCTTGTATTAACTCCAGACTAATAAAAAAAGTTTAATTTCAATCCTCTATATGTAATTTATGCTGATGTCCCTTGATCTATCATTAAAAAATTATTTATTATATTAAATACGAAAGATTGATTTTATAATAAATATATAATATTATATTTAAATTGATCCATCAATAGATTAAACCTCGATTATTATATAGAAAAATATTATTTTTCCTTTTATATTATTATTTTTTCATATTAATAAATTATTTAAAAACTTATAAGGACACTAAATTATTAACAAAGAAAAGAAAAGAAAAGAAAAGCCAAAGAGAATTGACCTCTATTTCAAACAAAACCAAACATTCATGTAATCAACTAATGGATTTTGTCTTTTTCCTTACTAGACAACAAATCTGAAAAGCGCGAGTACACGTGTATGTACATCTATATTTTTAGGAAAATTAGAAGAAAAAAATAAGCATATATAGATTGGGGACGTATTTTCTGAAATTTTTAATTTTCATATATTATAATATTTTATTAATACTGAATTTATACTCCTAAAATTCTATACTTTTACACTCTTTAGTTTTTTTAATATTATTTCTTAAAAATCTATATCTTAATAAAGAAAATCTGTAAGTAAACTCACAAATTGCCATTTGGAAATCAAATTTGGTACGAGATTATTAATTGGTGATTTGATTAATTTCAAAGGAACATTTTACACTAAATTTAAATGAATATTGTAATAATTATGATGCAAACATATATTGTTATGGCCACCGCTCGATGCATTAGCACGTCACTATAATGTCGGCAACAATATTTTGACCGAAATACCCACGAGAATATCATTTCTGGACCTATTCCAGAAGGTTAGTTCAGTACTTTGATACGAAAATTTCCTTCAATGGTCACCAATTATCTTTCAATTTTATGTTAAACCAATTTAACATCAATCATTAATTATATTTGGAAACCAACGTGCACCATGGTCAAGCAAAGCCATGTGGCATTTTGGCTTTAGAAGCTAGTGAGAATAACGGATCTAGCAAAGCCGTAAAGCCGTATAACCGGCGACGGTTGGTGGCGACCGAAGTTTCTAGGTTACTAATAACCTTAATTAGGTAACCAAAAAGTTAAAAAAATGCAAAAAAGAAATGATTTCTAATTAATAAGGTCTAAATTTCTTTCTAGTCCTTGTAATCTATGGATATTTAAATTTTAATCTTTATATTTATCAGATTTGAAACTTAAAGTTCCATTGATCTATTGTTAATGGACATGTGTTAATTTAGAATATGTTATTATTTAGTTAACATGATTGTTATCGATTTAATAGAATTGTATTTTGTTGACCAATGAAGTAGACAATAACCGTATATAATGATCGGAAGTTTTTCTGATAGCGTGGATTTGATTTTCCTCATCTCTACTGCATACACTTTATAATATCATATAGAGTGTTAATCAGGAGTTGTCATGACATTGATATTGATTGAATGTTTTAGACTAGGAGATCACGTGTATCACAACGTGGTCATCGGTGATTATATGTAGGGTGTAATTGAGAGGATAATATGTGATCAGTTGACTACCGGTTATTCGCAGGGTATGATCCGCATGCCTAAAGATTCACGTAAGTCTCATGTTCGCATGTCTAGGTGTTTGCAGGCTAGAGGTTTGTAGGTAATAACAATTGCCCAAAATAAGTGGAGGTTATAAAATGACTTTCACGAACCTAGAAAATGAAGGAGAAGTTAAAGCGCAAAGACAAGTGGCGTTCATGTTTTGTTATTTAAAAAAATTCATTAATGATATTATCAATTGGATTTCAAGTAGATGAAAAATTTTGAAATTAAAATGGTAGGGATTAAAATTTAAATTTTGAGGACCGAAAGGACTGTATGCAAAATTATATCAATCAATAACAGGCATATGTCTATTAACTACCAGTTTCCCACCAACTCCCTCAAAGATTAAATCACAATCAGACAATCCTCTGACATCCAACGGCTACGGTTCTGGCTTCCCAAACTTCGATATCAGCCGTCAGATATATTTTTACTTTCGCCAGATTCTACCCATCTCTCCGGTTTCTCTATAAATAGCAGGCATGGAGGCTGTACTCGTTGTGCCGTTGAGTTCCACTTCTCTAGAGGTCTGGTATCCTCAACACTCTCTCCTTCTTCCTGCGACCCAAGACTCAGATACGTCGGATTTCTTTGTCCAGGTTGCCATTCTACCCTTTTTATTGCTTTTCGCTTTCGTTTTTGTTCGGAGGTTTCGCTTCGCTGTTTCGTAGCAGAGGAAAATGAGTTTTCTGTCTCTCTTTTCATAGTTAAGTTTGGCTGAAATGCTTGCAGATCTGTTCTGTTTTATGGTGGTTCTCGAGTTTTTAACATAGCGGTTTCTGAATTTTTTTAAAAGATCTGAGATCTGACTATGGATTATTCATGGAATTTTACTGCAAAATAAATGTCCATTATGTTTGGAGTAACGCTTTGGATCGAACGTGAAGTTAATTATTGTCGGTCGACGATCATTAATGATGTCTTAAACTTCGGTTGAATTTAACTTTTACTTGAAAAGCATTCCAACTTCGAGTAGGATCTACTGTATCTTTTCTGTTTTTAGCTTTCAAATTGAGTATAGAATTTAGAAACTTTAATGTGATTTTTACTACTTCTATTTGGATGTGTGTCAGTCATGTATGCTGGCTTAGAAACTTTGGATCTTGTAATAAACAGGGAAGAAACGGAATAGAGGAATTTGTCGACTTGTTTCTGACAATTTGAAATCACTGTGAATAACATTAATATCAAAGTGCAATAGCATCCATGAATATAATTCCTAAATTCTAGATTATGAACTTATGCTGTTGTGACGCAAAAGGAATCTGTTTATTTCTGTACTTTTTTGTTTGCATTCTCCTAATAGCAAAATCTTCCAAGCAAACTTGAATCTGTTGTGCTTTATGACTTCATGCTGAGTCTCCTGGAGTTTAACTGATCTATAAAAGCATGAACAATTTGTATTGTTGCTAAGGTTCTTTTATTTTGTGGTATTTCCTCATCAGCATGTTTTATTTGTTGGCCTCAGTAATTAGGAATTAATATTTCTTGCATGAAGTTGCTGCTCAAAAATTGTATTAAGATCCGTTTGGTATTATTGCAATGTGCAGACTTAGAATGGAGACCTTTCTATTCACATCAGAGTCCGTTAATGAGGGTCACCCCGACAAGCTTTGTGACCAGATCTCTGATGCTGTTCTCGATGCCTGCCTTGCCCAGGACCCTGACAGCAAGGTTGCTTGCGAAACATGCACCAAGGCCAACATGGTCATGGTCTTTGGTGAGATTACCACCAAGGCCAACGTAGACTATGAGAAGATTGTTCGTGACACATGCCGTTCCATTGGATTTGTTTCTGATGATGTAGGTCTTGATGCTGACAACTCTTGGTCAACATTGAGCAGCAGAGCCCTGATATTGCTCAGGGTGTCCATGGCCACTTTACTAAGCGCCCAGAGGAGATTGGAGCTGGTGACCAGGGTCATATGTTTGGTTATGCCACTGATGAAACCCCTGAATTCATGCCTCTTAGCCATGTCCTTGCCACTAAGCTTGGTGCACGTCTTACTGAGGTTAGGAAGAATGGCACGTGCGCCTGGCTAAGACCTGATGGTAAAACCCAGGTTACTATCGAGTACATCAATGAAAATGGTGCCATGGTTCCAATTCGTGTTCACACCGTCCTCATCTCCACCCAGCATGATGAGACTGTTACAAATGATGAAATTGCCGCTGACCTCAAGGAGCATGTTATCAAGCCTGTCATCCCTGAGAAGTACTTTGATGAGAAAACAATCTTCCACCTTAACCCATCGGGCCGCTTTGTCATCGGTGGTCCTCACGGTGATGCAGGTCTCACTGGACGTAAGATCATTATCGACACTTACGGTGGATGGGGAGCCCATGGTGGTGGTGCTTTCTCTGGAAAGGACCCAACCAAGGTGGATAGGAGTGGTGCTTACATCGTTAGGCAGGCTGCCAAGTGCATCGTAGCAAATGGACTTGCCCGCAGGTGCCTCGTCCAAGTCTCCTATGCTATTGGTGTGCCCGAGCCCTTGTCCGTATTCGTCAACAGTTACGGAACCGGTAAGATTCCCGACAAGGAAATACTCCAGATTGTGAAGGAGAACTTCGACTTCAGGCCTGGTATGATCACCATCAACCTGGACCTCAAGAGGGGCGACAACGGCCGGTTCTTGAAGACAGCTGCTTATGGACACTTTGGTAGGGACGACCCTGACTTCACCTGGGAAATTGTGAAGCCCCTCAAGTGGGAAAAGCCACAAGCTTAAGTTGAGCCATGCTTTTCCCTGCTACTTGGTGCTTTGCTTATCCATAGTGCTGAATAATATTGGTTTCATCGCGGCTGCCCTATACTCTATATGCAATCCCCATAATGCTTCTAGTGTCATACATTTTTCCCTATTCATTTTTCTTTTATATTTGTGTCTTTTGTTTTGGTTATCTTGGTTTTATGTGTCATGTATCAAAGTCTGTTGCAAGAAATGTATGAGAATATTGGTGGCACTGGAATTAACAAGCAATGTGAAATGCCGCTAGGCAACAGCAATATGCAATATCATTAGTAATGTGAGATAATCAATTGTATTTTGTTTATTTACATCATCTTTTGACTGCGGTCCATTGTTATCACACTGTTGTAGTCATAATGCTACGTGTTTGGAGGAGAAAGCATGTAGGGGCCTCTCGACCCTGACCTGGCTACTGTTACGGATATTCAGTTTGTTAACGGCTCCATTTGGTTAATTGCATTAAAATCTGTGCATGTTAACCTTTATATTTTTATCCTTTGCGAAACCTAGATGCTCTACCATTACTCAGGTCGAGGGCAAGTTTCATTAAACAAAAGGAGAAAACAATTTGAACAAAACGGGCTAAAACCCCGAGGACAAATGGACCTGCAGAAACTCAAGCAACAAAGGCTAAAAAATTAAAAGGAACCTTAAACAAATTCAAGCAACAAACAGGAAAGAAATGGCAGCACAGCCCAAATGAAGAGGGTCGTTATCAGAATATCGCCGCCCCAAATCATTTGACGATTCATTAAAAATATATTTTACAGAGTAACGAGAGTATATAAATATATATATTTTTAAAATTATTTAATATACTAATGTTAAAATATGATATATATATACATATATTTTTTTTATAAAATTTGGATAATATTCTATAAATTTTCATATACAGATTTTAAATTTAATATTAAAACTTTAACATGTTAAAAAGAAAAATATTAAATAATCATACATCGAACACCCCTCAAATGTAAGACAAGCTGAGTTAATAGACGATAAATCTATCTGGTTTTTTAAGGAGGAAAAACACTAAGAAAAACTGAATTATTGTTGGTAAATAATGGCTTTTTAAGATAAGATGCTTGAAATGGAACAAAACAAGAAAAGAAATTCATCTAGGCTGCAACACACCGTTTTTAATATTAATGGTTACAATGCTACATCTCCCGCTATAAGTATAAAAGACAAGAACCTCAAGACCTAAGAGGGACAACTATGCATGTGTTATCATGTTAATACCCTCAGACATTACATTCATAACTGAACAACAAACAAAAGGTAATGTATGTCAGACAATATCACCTTCACCGGAATTCTGTCCTAATACTGGTGTATAACACCACTTCTCACTTTGCGGTATAAACAGATTACAAATACAAGCCCTTACTAATAGTTACCAACGTGGGGCGAGTTGCTGGACCTCAGCTTGCTCCGTAGTCCAACAATTCCCACCTGAAGGGACGGAAAACATACAGAACTTCGGGACAGCTCTTAAATAGTAGAGCAACACAGACGCATACTGCAGCAACTGCTACCACGGAGAGCATTGCAGGCCTGTACACCAATGACCTGTTGGTTGTTCTATATCCATATGCCAGCGTTTGATCGCAAAGCTTGCATTGTCGGTTCATGGATTTAGATTCAAGCTTCCCAATCTCAAAGCTGGAGGTAGATTCATTATTTTGCTTTAGGCTTGTGCTACAGTCGGAGATGGCACTAGGGATATCCACGACTACATGCCCAGACGATGGTCTCTTATTAATTTTCTTTTGTACTAGGCGGATGTAAGAGTAGTGGCCACGCAAGCAAGCATAATCTTCAGGTGTAGAACAGGTGCTGTCTCGAGCCCTCTTCCAAGCATCGATGCCAACCTAAATGGAAAATGTACAGTTACTTTTCAAATGAAATTCAACCCAAAAAAAGAGAAAATAATATAACTGTATTCATATTTAACACACTTAAGTCTTAACTTCAATGCCCATAACTGGGAAATAGCTTAGGCAGATAGAATTCAGATTGAACGAAGCACAAGAGGATGCATCTCAGAATATGATAAAAAAATTCATGAACAGCGCAACAACTCTATAGTTCTCTTCCAATCATGCTTAGAAATAAATGATATTACCTTTCCAGGATCATTGGTCAATGCATCAAGCAACTCCTCAGAACCATCTTTACCAGCTGCAATGTGAAGAGGAGTCAAGCCTGCAGGACCTATGGCATCAGGTCTAAACAAGAAGCTTTCTCGAACACCGTCAGCTACTGTCTCATTTTCAAATCCTAATCTATCTGATGCCTTCTCAGGGTAAAATCTTAAAAGGAGTTCCACTAGAGGTCTACAATTTTTCCTAACCGCTCTGTGAAGAAGACCCATCTCCATTAATGCAAGGTTATGGGAAGGATGCTCCCCTGAACTGACGGTTCCATCGAGAAGAATATTTAAGAGTTTCTTCACTACAGCACACCATTCATGGTCCATAGAGAACTCCATAAGCCACCTGAAACGCCTTAGAGGGAAGAGTTCAGGGTTAGGATCCAAATGGCCCAATCTAGACTTCAATAGACTTCTATGAAGAAGCCAACCAAATTCATGAATGAAGTCCATGGCTTGATTTTTGGCTTCCATTTTTCCAGTCCTGCCAATATCTGCATCAGTGTTGGTAATCTCCAGTACACTCTCAAGCATTCGAATCTCTGAACAAACATCATCCTCGGCAACTATGAAAGGGAAGAAGCTGCTATTAAAACCATGGTCTTCAATCTGGAGAAGATGAAGGAAATGTTACATATAATTTATTTAATTGCCACTCAATGAGAAGAATGTAACGTCCGGCGAGTACAATGCAAAAGGAAACCAGAAAGAGTATATATATATATATATCAAGTGTCTCCATATCTATAATAATAACAGAGCCAACCATAAATTTATAGAAGTTTTGGAAGCAGCCTCTATGATCCAAAAATAAATATTTCGAACAGATTAGATAAGAGGACACCATTTATCACAAATACTAATCATCCTAGGACTAAGGCTGTAAACGAGCCGAGTCAAACTTGAGTGATGTTGAGCTTGACTCGACTCGAAAACTTTAAAACAGAGCTCGACTCGGCTCGAAAGCTCGCGAGCCTAAAATTATCAAGCTTGACTCGAACTCGAAACCATGAATTGAAGCTTGAAAAGGCTTGAAATAAAAAAAATCTTAAACTTAACTCGATTGAAGCTCAAACTCGAGCTCAAACCTAAATCTTAAGTATATGAAAACTTTATGTGTTGATTTTTTTAAAAAAATAAAATTTTAATATAATAATTTTTTCAAGTTGCTCGCGAGCTTTTCGAGTCGAGTATCAAATAGCTCGTTAAAAAATCGAGTCGAGTTCGAACTCGAGTAGAGTATTTATCGAATTTTAATCAAGTCGAGCTCGAGTAGCTCATAATCTGTCTCGTCTCATTTACAGTCCTACCTAGGACTATCCTCTTCCCTGCCTCATCCCCAAAATAAGATGGGGTTTCATGCAAGGAATTACAACAGTAGACCTTATCTACAATCCAATAGTAATCCCTAACACCATTGGAAAAACTTTACTATTCACATATAATGGTGTCAAAGAAAACAGAAAGGGAGGAAACGGACAACAGGATCAATAATAAGAAGAAAAAAGTCACCTCAATTAATCCTCTTCCAATCATATCAGGGATAGAGCAAGAAAAGGTAACACATTGTAGCTCATTTTGCTCCTTGAAATCATCATCGTCATCCACCACCAAATCGTTAGTAGCTTCCTGTACCAGATACTTCCCTTCTACTGCACAGAGCAACCTGGGGAAATCCAAAAATATGAATGGCTCTTGAGCAACCGTAGAATGTCAATGCAGTAAACTAGATCTAATTTTATATACACTCCTGGATAATTAAAGCTATTGAATTTGACACAATAAACACTGACTGCAAGAAAAGAGTAAATACCTCGTGCCTGGCCAAGACAGATTGATACCTTTAACAGAAAATTGAGCTCTCTCAGTTGCAGATATTGCAATTGGTTTGATACTCATAATTTTACTATCATGATTACTTCTGAGAGGTAAAGATGTATCTACGACAATCTGACCTGCAACATAAAAATAAGTTGGTTAATAATCAATCCTGCATGCAAAAATGCTATTGCTTGTTGATTATTTGGTCATATCAATTAAATAAATACAAGTGAAGACAGAAATAAAGAGCAAACCGACCATTATAAATGAATGCTATTTGATCTAGCACCCTTATACAAATCCATCCAGTCCTCCAGAAAGTGTCGTCAGAACAATGCAGAAGTCGACTCAAACTGAAGCTCAGACCACAGCGAAGCTGACAAAATATTTAGAGGTTAAAATAATGAAAAGTTTAATAGAATTAAAAGAAAAGAAGATAAAAGTCAAGAAAACCAAGCTTACTTCATCCCATGCAGACTCAGCTTGACGAAGGTAAATTGTCAGAACAATGCAACCAGGCCTTATATAGCTCTCAATGTCAGTCGGACTATGTGATAGCCAATCAAGAATCTGGAAGTTCAAACATTTTACATAAGCATTTCAGAGGAAACAAACCCCAAAACAAAGTTACATTCAAATTCTTAAAAAGTACCTGAGCTCGCAAGACCAGAGGAAAATCATTTGGTTCCTTCCCAAATAATTTAAACACAATCCTATCTGTACGGTTCTGCAATGATCGAATTCAAAAAGAAATCACAAGAGGCTAAAGTTAAATAACATAATTAATAACACTATACATATTAATAGACTGATGGATCATCAGAATAAATATATATCAAACTATTCCATTGAAATTGCTTATCATGACACGAGATAAACTCCCTGCCTATGTTATATTTATCTGACACTTCCTAGAACTCTTTGAAGGAACTAGTCAAGGTTAGCATAATCATGTTAAACTTTTCCATGCATGATTCCTTAATGAGGTCATAATCTAACTCATTTCTCAATGAAGTCTTAAGATGGCTCATTCCTCAAGGAACTAGTCAAGGTTAGACAAATCATGCTAAACCTGTGGCACAATTTGAACCTTCTGCACAAATTCAAGCACCTAACCAATATCCTATACCTCATAGATATATATCCATGGAATTTTAATCGACAAACTGCATGCAATCGTGTAAACTATGCAATATATAGATACCTGAGCATCACCACTGGAACTAGAAGGTGATTGTGCAGATGCTGAATCTGAATTCCTACTGGTCTGAGGTGGACTTGATTGATGAGAGTCTTGCTGGACCCATGAAGGGCAATCAAGGGTGCTAGTCCCTGCATTCACAGGTGCAAGTGACCTCTCTATGCCATCTGTGCCATCATCTGAGTCAATATATATGTCATTCAAATCAAAATTATTTATCTTGACTGCTCCAGCTGTATTGCCTGGCACTTCAGCACCTTTTGCATCACAAGACTGTATTCCTTTATGCGGAATCTCTGATGTAGGTCCAGTTATCTGGTGCTTAAGAGGCTGAGGAGGGCCTTGGCCATTCAAAAATAAAGCCGAGACAGCTTCTGAATCACGAGGTTCTGGAAAAAACCCAGATATGTTTCTCCCCCCTTGTTCACCGTTACAGTTAGCAAGGCTCCTAAGAAGATGATATAGCAAATCCTGATCTGTGGACTGGTCAGATCTGTTAGCTGTAATTTAAGAAGACCAGAATCATCCACCAGTGTAGCGCAAAAGCAAACACAAAATATTCCAGGAAAAAAAATATGATAGCTAGGACCATGCTATTTCAAAAGAATCATGCCAGCTAATTTAACTTCTAAATTCATCTAAAACCAGATTTCATCGGAAGTGCATTATAAACATCATCAAAATTTCCTTTAACATTGCTTGGTCAACCATAGCCATTATTTCACCTTAGGTCCTCAAGAAAATTAGGGGATCTGATTGCGAAGCATGAAAAATAAATAGCTACAGAATTTGTTATGATAAAGCAATCAGATTACTTACAGTGCATGTTAGAAAGTATCTTCAAAAGACTTAACAATAGATAACCACTAGTCTGCTCATCATTCAATGAATTGCTATTGGCAACTGTGTCGGGATTTGTTTTCCTCCTCCTTTTATTGTGACCAGCCAATCGTCTGCGACAGCTTCTCTTACCTTCATCAAACTCTTGAAGGACATGAAACCTAAAAAGCAAACAAGTCAGCTTGAACAACAAAAAACTCATGAAGACTTCCTTTCCATCAGAATTTCTACAAATTAAATTAGCCTCCCGTTCATCTCGGCAAAGTGTTGCGAATTTTAGATGCTTACCTACTGCACTGTTGACAAAATCGCTGCATGACATCCCCAACCAGTGCTTTACTAGCTTTGGAATGCATCTCACAAACCTTATGCCGTCTATGATAATCCTTGGCCTGGCTCAGGTCAGCCCCACAGTCCTCGACCTGACAAACTGCACGATTTCCAGAACCTACGCTCAACTTAGTCTTCTTACCACTAGTTCCCTCCCAAGTTCTCATCTCCCGTTGATTGATTGGATAACCATGGACACCTTGGGAGCCGAGCTTTAAAGTGAGGCTACCTGCTTCTTCATTCAAACCGTCATCTTCGACCACAATAACCCTCCTTTTCTTTTCCAATTCCCTTTCCGCTTTCTCAGTTCCCGGATTCACTTCGTCAGAGCATGACGATGAACTATTCGACGAATTCCCAGGAATACCTGACCCAAGTGGAAAAAACTGACTTCCCATGCTATCAGCAGACACTGGATTTATCGAACTAGCAATGAAAAGGTCACCATCCCATTTCCAATCATTCAAATCCCACTCCAATGTCCTTTTCCCAACTGCCCGCAAATCCACCGGATTCATACCATAAAATCGACGAGCTTCAGTTGCAAGTCTAGTCTCCATTTTTCAAACCCAGTTATACAACAATATTCGAACCCAGTAATTCAACCTACAAATATATAATTTAACAACAAAAACTCATAACTTCAACCCTATTCCAGCTACAGATCAAACCACCAAAACCCCAAATATAGACAAACTATACAATTAATTACAACTAATCAGCTTCAGTTCTTCCCCAAAAGTCCAAAAACAGTCCACCGACACATTCATGATTCGAATTAAGAGCAACCCACATGCCAAATTAACTTATGGGGGGGGGGGAAGAGGCTCACCTCTCAACTCCCCAAATCTAAAACACTGAGCCTCTTTTTCTCTAATTCCAATCTCACTACAACAAAAAAAGAACCATTTTTTAAAAAGTAAAACTTAATTTAAACAAGCAGAAGGAATCAAAAGGTGAAGAACAACAAACTTAGAAGGTAACTTGCTGAGAAGAGAAACGGCGGGAACAGTAGGAACGTGATAGAAGGAAAGTGAACGCAAGTTTTTAGGGAAGTTGCGCTTGCGCAAGGTTCTCTCTGACGATGAATGGAAACGTATTTGTTTGCTTACTTGTTGGTTCTCTTGGGTGATGATTTGGTGCGGTGTAGGACGCACAAAATGGAAAATAATTCATAAACTCACTGGTAAGTCATTTCATTGATAAAAGAAAAATCATTTTGTTTTACTTATTCCGATTCCATTTTCTGTTCGATGGAAGTGTGTGAGGGGGAAAGAGAAGAGAAATGGAAGGAAGAGAACGTGTAGAAAGAAACGAAACAGTGCATGAGTATTATTAAAACCAAAATGCTGGCCCTACTTGCACGCGCCGTGTCTCACTCCCTTATCTAAAGTAATGAAAGGGAATCCAATCAATATTTTTTATATTTCATAAATTACGAATTACTTATTTTTATTTTATGACTATTTATTTTTATCATGATTTTTTCTAAATAATAATTTACCTTATCCTTTCTTAATATTTTATGTCATTTAGATTATTGATTTATAATATTTTGGTTAAAATTGTATTTAGTTAAATTAATTTAAAGATAAAATGTTGAAATTAATCCTTAACGTTTATTAAAACAATTATTTTGACCATTTTTAAACATTTTAAATCTAATATTTTATTTTATGAAAAAAAGTATTTAACGTTTGATCGAATAATCGTTTTAATCCTTATTTTTCTGGAGAATTTTGAGCCCTAATATTCGTTTTAAGATAAAAAGCCTCAATTTTATAGCGTTAACCATTTTTTAACTAACGATCTTCATTTATAGAGGGATTTTTTGTCCTAAAATAAAACGTTGAGACAAAATACACCAAAAAGTATAGGGATCAAAATGATCATTTTATTAAACATTAAGGGATTATTTTGACATTATGTCTAATTTAAATTGTCTATTATTTTGATTTAATTAATTTACTTATAGAAATAATCAATATATAATCCATTTAAATAGTGATATTTTATATTTAGAAAAAATAAATAAATAATTGATACATTGAATTGATTAGCAGTTCACACTTTCGCCGCATAAAGAAAAGAAAAAGTCGGTTGTGGGAAAACATGAGTCGTGGTTCGGTGATATGCGTTCAATAATTGGAGGTAACAGTTAAAACCATCGGATGAATCAGGATGCTTAATTACATTGACTTCGACTTTTTTTAATAAATGAGAAACATGTCATAACGGTCAAACCTAAGGAGCCTACAGGTCGTCTCATGTAATGTAATAGAGTGTGGCCGAGTCTTCGTGGCCGGCGACCATGTTTTGTCGGGATCCGACACACACAAAGCCTAAATTGGCCACATTCATTTAAACCATTTAGTTTAATTTGTTTTGTTTATATAAACCTATTAATAGATTTGAATGGTAAAAGAGATTGTTATTTTTTTAAAGATTTCAAATTTAAATAAGTGCATCTATAATATATATATATATTGATAACTACATTGTGTGATTTGTCAATGACTAAAAAATAATAATTATGTATGATTTTTATAAAATGATGAATTTTAAATTTAAATATGTTGATGCACAACATATAGAATATTGATATATAGTGAATAATTGATTGAGATTAAATAGGTTGTTTAAAAGTTTGTGATTAATCTCTTTTAAATTAAATAAAAAATTAATTAGTTGATGGTCTCTGAAGTTCAGAAGTGTTCCTTTGTTAAATTTTGAAATAGCTAAAAAGAGAATGATCTGAAAATCCCACCCCCCCCCTCCGGGAGAGAGATGATAATTGAATATTGTTATAATTTTTATTGTCTGTCGCTAAGCTCATCGGACATCAGTAATATAATTCCCATGTTGCACCTTTTCAGTTCCTTTTTAAGATAAAATCAAATTGTTTCCAATATTTTTAATTTCACAGTATGGGAAGATAAAATGGACGATTTTCATTAACAATGTATATGATTAACTTGAGGAAAATGATGAATGAATAGGTATAATAAGCAATAAGCATGAAATAAAGAGATTTTAAACGAATCGGAAGGTGTTGGTGCATGAAGAGGTGGCTATCCCATCGCATGGAATTTGGCAATTACTGTAAGCTATATAACTTTGATCGACGTTTGATTCACGTGAAAGGAAAGCCAATGGTATACTCGGTATGACGAAAATAATTGAGGGTGTCTGATGTAGAATTGTCCTGCAGAGTCTGGTGCAGATTTTGATACTCGATTTTCTTTTAATAAACAATTGAAAATTCACCTATGACATAATATTTTATGAACCCAAAAGCCTGTCCGTAACAATCCGAATTCGAACTTTAAAAAGCAGAATCCGAGAAAATTTAAGCCCAGGACCAGCCCGAACTTGAGCCAATGATAAATTGAGCCCAAGTCCAGTCCAAGCCCGAACACGGCATAAATCTAACTAAAACCCGAATTTATAACCAAATATATTACCCTTAGTCCTTAGATAATTCTCACATATAAACCACCTGTAATATCATATCGGATGAATAGATTTGTGTTTGATTATAAGTTAATTCTCCATGATATGCATCAACCCCACTACCCTAAAAAAAAAGAGAGGATATAAATAAGAAGACATTAACATATTTGAAAGTAAAGAAAGAAAAAACCTCATACATCAAGTGCCTGGAGGCATTTCAGCAGCGGGTACCGGTCGTGCATTTAACAGTGGCTGAAGAGCTTTAACAACAATGCTCATGTTTGGCCGAAAATCGGCTTCGTATTGCACACACAATGCAGCAACAGCGGCCATCTGCAATTGAAACAATAGAAGAAATGCTTTAGGCACGGACTTGACATTGACATTCGGTAAGGGTACTAGACAAGGAAAGGCAAAATATGTTAATAAGATTTAAAATGATGTGTATATTTGAGAGGAAATCTGCAGAGGACAGCCACAAAGAATTTGTTTTTCCCAATTCTCTGTTATCTGATTGACCTTGCTGGCAAATTAGTACAAAATCGGCATTCGTGCTAATAAGAAAAGACATTATTGTAAGCAATGGAGCATATTCATACCTTTGCGACGGCCTTCGGAGGATAATCTCCTCCAAGTCTTTCATCAATACATTGTCTCACCTTGTCTTCACTAAGTTTTGGTGTAGCCTAACACAATTCAAAACTCACTATCAGCCATGTATAAAAAGATTTTAATATTGAAACACAAGCTGGATTATAACATGTTTATATAGCAGAAAAATACCCATGTCACGAGACTTTGCTGACCACGGGGTAAAGTATGATCAACAGGTTTTCTCCCAGTCAGAAGCTCCAACAGCACAACACCAAAGCTGTACACATCACTCTTGGCATTTAATTGCCCAGTCATTGCATACCTGACAACCAAACAAACAGAACAGTCAATGTTCAAGGCATCCATTCCAAAATTAAGCTGTATACAATGATAACTTTAGGATGTAAAGTTATGCTTGTTTCCTGAAACGTCTCGTAATTAAATGTCAAATTATAAATTTTGCAGTTCCAACGAACAATTCATGATAGCTATACAAAATATCATGAAGTGTAAGAAGAACCTTAAATTACATACTCAGGAGCATGATAACCAAAGGTTCCAAGTACACGAGTGGAATGAAGGCGAGCTGCCATATCAGGAGCCTGATTAGATAAATCAAAGTCTGCAATCTTAGCAATGTCATCATCAAATATTAGCACATTGCTGGACTTAATGTCACGATGAATGATGTGAGGATCAGCCTTTTCATGCAAGTACTCAAGCCCTTTGGCAGCTCCTACAGCAATTTTTACTCTTTGAGCCCATGTTAGAACAGGACCTGGCTGAGCTCCCTTAACACCTTTTCTCCCTGAATCAAAGAATAAAAATATTGCAATATTAACAGCAAGACATGTAAATATTACAAACTGGAGGTTCTGTTTCTGAAAGAGAAAGAAATCCTTGCTTCAAGCATCATCACACCCCTATGCTTTTCAACTTTTTATAACAGGAGCAATAAAAGAAGCATCATCCCATATACCATGGAGAATATCATGCAACGATCCATTGGATGCAAATTCATAGGCAATAATACGGGAGCTTCCGTCAACACAGTAACCAAGCAATTGAACAAAGTTTTCATGCTTCAACCTTGATGCCATGGAAACCTGAAAATTATGAATCAGTGGATAAAAACCTGAAACTCCAAAATTACTATCATTGAGATGCAGCAAATGCAATGAATTATAGCTGTTAATTGAACCTGGGCTAAAAACTCATCATCAGGTTGCTTGCTGGCATCTAACTTTTTGATTGCTGTAGCCTGCCCACTTTTAAGAACTCCATAATAGACTCTACCATATGAACCTTCTCCAATCAAAGAATTAGCACCAAAATTATCTGTGATTTCCTTTAGTTCATCAACTGGAATCTCAGGGACTTCAATAGGCTGAATCTTCACAGTTTGCGCACTCTTTGATGCAATTTCAGATGCATGATAAACTCCATTGTTCCCTGAGTGATCAAATTCAACCCAGATTACACCAATAGATTCACTAAATCCAACAGAAAAGTAACAATCCATAGCATGCAAAAGAAAGATTGGAATAACTTGTAACAAGTAGTAAAATAAATTGGGTGGGAAAAAGAGTAGCAAATGTACGACAAAAATTTTAAAACATAGGGATAAAACTAATAAACAAGATATAGGTTAAAGTTTAAATGGTTATGGGCACAAAAGGAGTTTAGCATTCGACTAGTTCATATATTGATCATGCAGAAACATCCAGATGAAATTCATGAAAAAGCAATTTTATCAGCTTTGATGTGAATTTCGACCATTGGATTACCTGCTGAATTTTTAACCATGTGTTGACCTCCATTGTCAGCGGTTCTGTGGACACTTTCCTCTTCACAACAACCAAAGCAGCTCATGGTTCAATCCCTTGAAAATTGTTTCTAATTTGCAAAATTCAAATACACAAATTAGCATATAAGTGAAAATGTAAAATAAAATACCAAAAACAGGTTTTAAATCAAAGAAACTGATCAGCTTAACCGCCAACAAGTTTAACAAGCATTGCAGGCACAAGATGCAAGTAGACAGAGCATAAGTATTTGGTTATACAGATGAAAGTAACTGCAATGACAAAAAACAGGTGCAAAATGGATCTGCTTCCTCCATTATAAGTTGGTTTGTGGTCGAGATATTAAGAACTGCAGATCTTTTATCATGTGCTACGATCTATGTGAGGTGTTTCTATAGTCTTCCAAACCAGTTGACATATTTTGCCATCTAAAATTATGTCTTTAATTCTAAATAGCAGATTCTCAGTTCTGTTGCATGATTAGCATTTTTATTCAACATATTGGATATGGCATATGAAAAGAAAAAGAATAAAACATACTCTAGGATACATATGACATCAATTCCATAATACTGTTCTACAGACTTGCAGCACTTCACTCTTAAACATGATATCCTCTATGAAATGAGAGTTAAACACTTCATTGGATCATACAAATGCAGCCGGTCTTACACAAAATCCAAAGAGATCATACATTATTCCTGCTGGCAACCAAGTTGAAATGGCACGCACATGGAAACATATTAGAAATGAAGTTTTTGTCAGATTTTTCAGCCGCGGCAACTGTTAATTTGAAAATGGCATAAATCTACGATTCACCAATTTATACACCTGAATCTGCATCTAATTCAGTTCCAGGTAGCTTAAAACGCAGAAATGATCAGAAACAATAAACTCTTTCTGAGTACAACCATGCACAAAACTCTCCCAAGTCAAAACTTCTTATCAATAAAAGTTCAGTCGCTCCCCAAATGAGTCATGAGGTCAAGTTCCGGTAAGAACAATTCAACGCATACAAGCACACTCCAAATTCATAATTCAACAACCTTTCCTCGATCGGAATTTCCCAAAACCAAACGGTTTCGCGAACCAGTAAATTCAACAAGTTACATAATTCCACATGCATGTTAATCAATACCTACTAGTAGAATAAAAAACAAATAGAAAACCAAATAAGATAAAGAAAAATACAGTATATAATGTCACCTAAAATTCGGTCGCCGACGAAGTGGAGCAAGAACTTAGATCAGTCAAATAAGAGACTGTCGGTAGTAGTTGAACAGGAGATCTGAGACTACGAAGCCGGCGAAAGGTGCCCACTTTAAGAGAATCGAGGGATGCGTAGGATAAAAGGGAAAACCAGTCTTGACTTTATGGACAGCTCTCTTAGATTACATTAATACAAGATCTTTTTTCTTCTACAATTTTTACGTAATATATATTATCATAATTAAAGTAAAAAAAAGGGGGGGGGGAATAGAGATCCCCCCCAATTTCGGAAGCTTCAATTTCAACTTTAGACAAATTTGAACAGCTTCTTCAAAAGAAAAATAAAATTTATGGTAAACTACACATTTAGTAGATAAAAAATTACTTTTATTCTGTTTTTGATGTCCAATTTTTATTTTATCTCTAAAAATATATCTAATATTTAATTTATATTTCATTTTGGTACTATATAATTAAAAACTTAACGGTGATGTTGACAAGTTACCATAAGATAATGTCAAGTAATTATGGAAAAAACAAAAAAAATGTCACATCAATAGTTCTGTTAAGTTTTTAACGACATAATACCAAAATAAAATCTAAACTAAACGTAAAATATGATTTTGAAAAAAATAAAGTTTAGGTACCAAAACAAAAAAAAATAGTTTAAGTACTAAGTAAATAATTTGCCCTATTTTTTCATTATCATCAATGTTTATAATATTTTAAGAGTCCAATTGATAAAAATTATAAATGTAAAAGACATTATTATATATTTTTTATAGCTATCAAGTCAATAATTAATAGTAAAATTGAATAAAAGTTAGAGAAGCGATTGGAGATGATAATTTGTTGAGTTAATCGATTGATAGAATCGACCAAGAGGGGTGAATTGGCAATTAAAATTTTGGTGGAAGTTTTTGCAGAAAATTGAAAGTAATTGCACAGCGATTTAGAGTGATTCGACTTTCTCAACCAAAGTCTACGTCCACTACCTTAGCTATCCACACTAAGGATTTTCCAACAAAATCACTAATTTGTTCTTTCTTTTGAGATCAAACAGATAACCTTGCAACTCCTCAAGAATATACCCCAATTCTTGAGAACACTCTTTCTCAAAGAGAATATTACAAATTTGCAAACTTACAAGGAAATCCTCACAAGGTAAATTGTTTGCACAATTCTATAACAAAGAAAAGAACACTAAAAAATGAGTACAAGTAGTGTTATTGAAAGTAAAATGAATATTGAATGAAAAATAGACTTGAAATGCTCAAACTTGAGGTTTGATGCTTTCTCTTTGATTTTCTTTTAATTCTTGATTCTTGTTGTTGATCAATGGCTTCTAAGCTTGTTTAAATACTCCTTCAATTGATTTTGAACATTGGGGATGATTAGTGGAGTCAATAGAGTCGTTTAAGTGTGAAAACAATTAATAAAACAGTTGGGAGTGTCTGGTGCATCAATGCATATGGTCGGTGCATCGATGCATAATGTTGGTGCATCGATGCATAATGCTGGTGCATCGATGCATAAGTCTAGTGCATTGGTACATTATGTGTAAAATTCAAATATTTCAACCGTTGAACCTTAGTGCATCGATGCATGAAGTGCATTCGATGTTTCAAAATAGCCTGAGTGTATCGATGCATGTCTTGTACATCGATGCATCAAATGCATTCGATGATTTCATAAAATCCTGAGTGCATCGATGCATATAATGCATTCGATATTCAATTTATTCAATGGTGCATCGATGCATGGATTGGTGCATCGGTACACTTTTGAAAAAATTGATTTTAGGTTCGTTTTTTGTTCGAAATATTTTGTGAAAATTGTTTTCAAAAATATTTTAAGATTGAAACACAATTTTATACTTAAGTAAGGATTGCAATTGATCTTTGAAAGACTTGAAGTAATACTTTGATATTAGAGTAATTAAATCGAATATACTTAGAAAATCATTTGTAAAATCTTAAAATTCATTTATACATAATTTGTTATATCGAAACATCAAAATGTTTTCAACAATCTCCCCCTTTTTGTTAAATCAAAAAGACTCTAAAACGTTTTGAACAAGGTTTTTGAAAGAAAAAAAACATAGCCAATTGATTATTAATAAATATAGCTTAAGCTGCTAAGATCAAAGATCAAGAAAAAGGTTAGCCATTAGTTTTCATAAATAATATTCATAAACATGTAATGGATAATTGGTCATATATGTCTAATGATGCAAAAATAAGTATTAATAAAAAGAAAATTCAAACCAAACATACATATATTAAGATTTAATATCCAAAACAACCAAAACATTAATCCAAACATTCAATCATCCAAAATAAAAATCCAGAAACATCAAAATATATATCAATCCAAGTTTTAAATCCAAGAAAGCATAACAAGGAAAAATCACTCAATCGGAGGATCGGGAGGAGGAGGAAATCGTGCTTGCATCTTAAGAGAGAGAGCATCCATACGTGCAAGCATCTGCCGTTGAAACTCCATTTGTTGAGCTTCCAAAGTGTCTAAGCGATGATTCACCGCTTCGTTGTTAGCAGTCAAATAGGATTCGATGGAAGCAAACCGTAGATCAAATGTCTCAAAAAATGAACGAAAATATGGAGGCACTTGATCCTCTTGTGGTGACGGCGCATTGTCGGGATCGTCAATGTCTTGAAATAATCCTTGAAGCTCGGGATCATCATCTGCAGCCGGAGGAGGAGGAGTAGCACGAGAAGAGCTAGGAGCAGGAGGTACTCGTGAAGAACTAGCTCCCGGAGTTTTCTTAGAGGGTCGATAAACCCATTGACTAGTTTCCTCATCCTGTTTCCAATCAGCTTTCTTCAAGGAGGTGATTGATTTGGTTTTGAAAAGGAATAGGATTGTCGAGAGAGACTTAAAACCGAGTTTGATAAAAATATTACTAAGAAGACATCCATAAACTAATGTTTTGACATGTTTTGAAGGAATAATGTTTATGGTATCCACTAGCTATCTAAATATAATGTGTGGCAAATTTATTTTGTTCTTATTCTTGATACAATACATCCACCATAAATCCCTAATACGAAGAGTGGAGTACCTACCTCCGGATAGTCTAAACCACCAAGAGATCATCAAATGAAGAAAATGATCGTGATGAGATCGTAGAGTACTAACACTAGCATTAGGAAGATAGGGATATTCCATAGTTTCTTTCTCATTATATAAACCATCGAATCAGAGTCAATATGAATATATTGTCCTAAAAGGTAGGATATAATTCCTATAATCCCACATTGAGTCTCGTTTTGAATACATACCACATTATAGTAGAAAATACGGACTAACTGATGATAGACATATGTTTTAGGTGAAACAGTTTATCAAACTTCCATGTTTTGAGAATCGAAGGTATTCGAAGTCAATATCAATCATGGCTTGAACAGAAGGAATACACTATTCCCGTATTCTATAAGATTGGAAAGAATTCATGTACTATGGTACAATTATTCTCTACGACGTTCAGGCATATTAAAACAGGATCCTATAAGATTTGTAGGTTGAGGAGGAACGGGATTAGGAAATCGGGTAGAATGACTAGAAGAGGTCCTAGGGCATTTAGGATTTGACATGGTTTAAGGAATCAGAATAAGGAATGTAACCTGCAATTTGAAAAACACATGTATGCAATTTAATCAATCCCAAAACTCGATTGAGTCTGTAATAATTCAAGGTTCTCTAAACTAAATCCTAATGGGCAAGGTTTCGAAAACTTATTTGAAAATAATTTTTGAAAAATCATAATATGTATAGTTTTCATGAAAAACAACATAATTGAGTCAAAACATCTAAATAAATCAAAAGATTTTTTTTTCGAATTTCAAAGAAAATTTTGAAATATTGTGTGTTTTTGACTAAATTTGTTGTAAAATCTTATTTCTAATCACCAAACAATCAACGCCCGGTATAATGTTCATTCTAGAACTAATCTAAACTAGTTCTAAAATCAAAATATGATAAAATAGAGGTTTTTAGAAAAATACCTTGAAAATTTTGGATTGATGAGAATGAGAGGTTGTTTTGCACGATTTAATGATGTTAGCAGGATATGGAGATGAAAAGCTTGGAGATTCCGATTTTTTTCGTTGATTTTGAGCAAAAGGAGAATTTAGAGAGGGAGATAGGCGAACGGCTTGAGAGGGTTTAATTTTAGGTTTGAAACAAATAAGAAAATAAACATTTTAAACCCAAAAACCGACGGATGCATCGATGCATGGCTTTGTGCATCGATGCACATTCAATGAGTGCATCGTGCATCTTCATGATGTATCGATGCACATACAAAGGGATGTATCGATACACTGTTCAGTGTATCGATGCATTAAGCACAAGAATGACAAAAATCTGTATTTAAACATCGAAAATGCTAAAATAAACTACTCTAGTGGTATTGGCAACTCATATAACGAAAATTAATCATGTCCAATTAATTAATTTTATTCTTGAACTTCATTTGAACATATAATCAATTTTCACTAAAAATCATAAACTCTCCCTAACTAAAAGCAAAGAATGCAATAAAAATTATTATTAATATAAGCATTTTTTATTTATTCTTAAAAGTGCTAAAATTAATTTAAACACAAAGTGACGATAGGTAAGTTAAACCTAATTCTCTTCTAAGTGTCCAAAATATTTCTTTGTCTAAAGGTTTTGTAAAAATGTCCGCTAATTGGTGCAAAATATCAACAAATTCTAGAACTACATCTTCCTTAGCGACGTGGTCTTTAATGAAGTGATGTCTAATTTCAATATGCTTAGTTCTAGAGTGTTTGATGGGATTTTTAGTGAGACAAATAGCACTAGTATTGTCACACTTTATAGGAATGGTACCTACTTCAATTCTATAATCAAAACGTTGTTGTTTCATCCATAAAACTTGTGCACAACAACTACCGGCTGAAATGTATTTCGCTTCAGTGGTAGATAATGCCACACAATTTTGTTTCTTTGAAAACCAAGAAATCAACATATTTCCAAGGAATTAGCAAGTACATGAGGTGTTTTTCCTATCTAATTTGCATCATCCATAATACGCATCAGAGAAGGCATGCAAGCTAAAGCTAGAGCCTCTAGGATACCAAAGTCCTAAACTATGAGTGTCCTTAAGGTATCTAAAGATTCTCTTGACAGCTAGTAAATATGATTCCTTAGGACATGATTGAAATCTAGCATAAGCAAACATTAAACATAATGTCTGATCTACTTGCAGTTAGATAAAGCAAAGAGCCAATCGTTGACCTATATAATTTAACATCCACACATTTACCTTCTTCATCTATGTCAAGCTTTGTTGATGAGCTCATTGAAGTGTTATGTGGTTTTCCATTTTTCAGTCTAAACTTCTTGAGCATATCTTTGAAGTACTTAGCTTGATTGATGAAGATGCCATCTTTTCTTTGCTTGATTTTGAGTCCCAAGAAAAATGAGAGATCCCCCATCATGCTCATCTCGAATTCACTTTGCATTAGTTTAGAAAATTCTTGTCAAAGAACATCATTTGTAGAACCAAATATTATATCATCAACATAAATTTGAACTACTAATAAATCTTTACCTTTATGCTTTAAAAACAATATAGTGTCAACCTTCCCTTTTGAAAAATCTTTTTCGATTAAAAAAATTGACAATCTTTCATACCAAGCTCTAGGAGCTTGTTTTAAACCATAAAGAGTTTTTATCAATTTAAGAACATGATTTGGAAATTTTGAATCTTCAAAAACAGGAGGTTGTTCCACATACACTTCTTCTTTTATAAAACCATTTAAAAATGCACTTTTAACATCCATTTGATATAATTTAAATTCATGAAAACATACAAATGCTAATAACATTCTAATCGCTTCCATCCTAGCTACGAGAGTGTATGTTTCATCATAGTCTATACCCTCTTCTTGAGTATACCCTTGAGCAACAAGTCTAGCATTGTTTCTCATTATATTACCACTTTCATCAAACTTATTTCTAAATACCCATCTAGTACTACAGTAGATTTATTACTAGGCCTTTCAACTAATGTCCATACTTTACTTCTCTCAAATTGATTTAACTCTTCTCGCATACCCATAATCCAATGTTTATCTTTTAATGCTTATTTGATGTTCGTAGGCTCTATGCATGAAATAAATGCAACATAATTACAAATATTTCTAAGAGAAGAGCGAGTAGTTAACCCTTTTGATGGATCACCTATAATTTCACAATCCTTGACATAGTTGTACTCTCTTGGATAAGATACTTCCCTTTCTTCAATGGTTGGATTCTCGAGAGGATCATGAGTTTCCTCATCTGTTGTTTCTTCTCGGAAGGGGATTATCATCGAAAACATGTATAGATTCTTCTACAACGAAAGTTTATTTATTAAATACTCGATAAGCTTTAGAATTTAAGGAATAACCCTAAAAAATTCATTTATCACTTTTAGCATCAAATTTGCCAAGGTTTTCTTTACCGTTGTTTAAAACATAACATTTACATCAAAAAGGATGAAAATAACTAATGTTAAGCTTTTTATTTTTGAAAATTTCATATGGAGTTTTCTTTAAAATTGGAATCATTACTCGATTTACAACATAACAAGCGGTATTTGTGGCTTCCGCCCAAAAATATTTTGGCAAATTATTTTCACAAACATGGTTCTAGACATTTCTTCTAAAGTTTGATTTTCCTCTCAACAACTCCATTTTGTTGAAGGGTTCTAGGTGTTGAAAAATTATGCCTAATACCATTAGAATTGCAAAACTCATTAAATCCAAGATTTTCAAATTCAGTGTCATGGTCACTTCTAACACTAGTGATAGAGTAACCTTTTTCGTTTTGGATTATTTTTGAAAATGTGATAAAATGTTCTAATGCTTCATCTTTAGTACTTAAAAATAGAACCCAAGTATATCTAGAATAGTCATCTACCAAGACAAATGCATATTGTTTTCCACACAAGCTAGTAGTCCTAGTTGGCCCAAAAAGATCTATATGGATCAATTGTAATACTCTACTAGTTGATACATCATTAATGGATTTAAAAGAAACTCGCTTTTGTTTTCCTTTAGCACAAGCATCACAGATTTTATCATTATCAAAATTTAGTTTAGGCAACACTCTTACTAAATCTCCTTGAATTAGCCGTTGCAAAACACTCATACTAGCATGTCCTAGTCTCCTATGCCATAACCAACTATCATGCTCATCCCTAGCAACTAGGCATAAATTAGTAATAACTATAGAATCCAAATGCACCATGTAAATGTTTCATATTCTATGACCAACAAGCATAATCTGATTAGATGCAATGTCAACAACTTTACAACCATTAGTTTCAAATATGACATTGAATCCCTTATCACAAAATTGACTAATACTCAAAAGATTATGCTTTAATCCATTCACATATAAAACATTCTTAATTTGTATGGAAGAGGTATTACCTATAGTGCCTATACCTTTAATGTGACATTTTGAGTTATCATCGAAAGCCACCTCTTCTCCATTTTTGGCGTTGAGCTCTATGAATCGGCTTTTGTCTCCAGTCATGTGTCTTGAGCATCCACTATCAAGGTACCATGAGTTTGAATTTGTTTCCTGTGCTTGTAGCAATGCTCCTTTTCATACAAGCATAGATTAATTTCTAATTTTTGGTACTCAAATTCTTTTTGGGTCCATATTCATTAGTTTCCAAAATCCTAGTCCCCTTAGGTATCCATTTGTGTAAGATATCCTTATCTTTTATAGTAATGAGTCATTTAGGAACCCATATACTTCTAACGATTTTTCCATTAGAGGTTCTTTGGGGACCTTTATGATTGTAGTTTTTAAAACTTTTTTTTAACAAAGTTGGTTTTTGAATTTTCTCCTTTTTCAAAATGTTTTGTTCCAACTTTATCAAAAGAAGTTTTAAGATCATCAATTTTCTTTTGATGGTCATCATTGACCTTTGAAAGTAAATTTTGCAAATCCGAATTTTTCTTTTCAAACTCTTATAGTTTGATTTACAAATCACTGATTTTACTTTCAAGATCATTGTTGGTCTTGGATATGAGATTGTTTTCATTTTTCAATTTCAAAATATCATTTTTATATTTTAAAAACAATTTCTCATAATCCGAAGCCAACCCAGTATATTCCTCTAATAACTTATCATAAGATAAATCATCTAAATCAAATGAGTTAGAGGTTACCTTAGAATCTTCCCCGAATGCCATCAAACATAAGTTTGCTACTTCTTGTTCCTCTTCATCGGAACCTTCTTCTTCACTCCATGTAGCCACATGAGCCTTGTGATTATTCTTTGATTGACCATTTCTCTTCAATTATGGACAATTATATTTGACATGCCCTGACTTTTTGTATTCATAGCAAATGATCGGGTCCTTCTTTTGGTTCATTTTTGAAGCCTTCATTTCGTTTGAATTTTCTTCCTCGGTTAGGCCTCATCATTTTTTTGAACCGTTTGGCAAACAATGTCATTTCATTGTCATCGGCATCTTCATCCGAATCACTCTAATCTTTTGTGGATTTGAGAGCAACTCCAATGTTTTTCTTCTTCTCTTATCCTTTGGTGTCTCGTCAATCTTATCGAGGTTCACCTCATCTTCAAGCATCATTTCATGAGTGAGGAGGGAACCGATTAGCTCTTCAAGAGTTAAGGACTTTAGGTTCTTAGCCTCGACGACTGTCGTCTTCTTTGATTGCCATGATTTTGGAAGTAAGTAAACTAACTTCCTCACAAGCTTTTCGTTTGAAATGATCTCTTCATATGATTTGAGACCATTGACAATCGTTGAAAATCTATCCATCATAGCTTTGATATATTCATTTGGTTTCATCCTGAAATTTTTATAGCTATGCGTTAGAAGACTAATTTTAGATTCTTTTACCTCGTCCGTGCCTTCATGAGTGACTTGTAGTTTATCCCATATTTCTTTGGCGGTTGTACAAGATGAAACTCTTCCGTATTCATCTGGTCCAAGAGCACAAAATATGATATGAATGACTTTGGAGTTGAGCTGGAACATTCTTGTCTCTCATTCACTCCATAATCTTGGATGAGTGAAAGGCTTGATATATCCATCTTCTACAGCATTCCATGCTCCCATGTCACTTTCTTGAATGAAATACATCATCATATTCTTCCAATAGGCATAGTTAGCTCCATTGAAGAAATGAGGCTTGTTGACCGGCATCGAATCGAGACCGGAGTCGAAGTTTGAAGTAGAGGCCATTGATGACTTGATTATTGATGTAACTCTTCCCAAATCGACTCAAGAGGTAATTAAACCTTCAAATGAGGAGACTCTGATACCAATTGTTGAGTTAATCGATTGATGGAATCGGCCAAGAGGGGGTGAATTGGCAATTAAAATTTTGGTGGAAGCTTTTGCAGAAAATTAAAAGTAATTGCACATCGATTTAGAGTGGTTCGACTTTCTCAACCAAAGTCTACGTCCACTACCTTAGCTATCCATACTAAGGATTTTCCAACAAATTCACTAATTTGTTCTTTCTTTTGAGGCCAAAGAGATAACCTTATAACTCCCTCAAGAATATACCCCAATTCTTGAGAACATTCTTTTCTCAAAGAGAAGATTACAAGTTTGCAAACTTACAAGGAAATCCTTACAAGGTAGATTGTTTGCATAATTCTAGAACAAAGAAAAGAACACTAAAAAATAAATACAATTGAGTACAAGTAGTGTTCTTGAAAGCAAAATGAATATTGAATGAAAAATAGACTTGAAATGCTCAAACTTGAGATTTGATGCTTTCTCTTTGATTCTCTCTTAATTATTGATTATTGTTGTTTCTTGTTGTTGATCAATGGCTTCTAAGATTGTTTAAATACTCCTTCAATTGATTCTGAACGTCGGGGATGATTAGTGGAGTCAATAGAGCCGTTTAAGTGTGAAAACAATTAATAAAACAGTTAGGAGCGTCTGGTGCATCGATGCATAAGGCTAGTGCATCGGTACACTATGTGTAAAATTCAAATATTTCGAGCGTTGGACCCTTAGTGCATCGATGCATGAAGTGCATTCGATGCATCAAATGCATTAGATGTTTTCATAAAATCCTGAGTGTATCGATGCATGGTATGTGCATCGATGCATATAATGCATTCGATGTTCAATTTATTCAATGGTGCATCGATGCATGGATTGGTGCATCGGTACACTCTTTTGAAAATTTGATTTTAGGCTCGTTTTTTGTTCGAAATACTTTATGAAAATTGTTTTAAAAAAATATTTTAAGATTGAAACACAATTTAATACTTAAGTAAGGATTGAAATTGATCTTTGAAAGACTTGAAGGAATATTTTGATATTCGAGTAATTAAATCGAATATACTTAGAAAATCATTTGTAAAATCTTAAAATTCATTTATACATAATTTGTTATATCGAAACATCAAAATGTTTTCAACATAATTTAACTTAAAATCAACTCGATCGATAGAGTTAGTTTTTTTTATAATTTAATTCGGGTCACGTCAGATCGAATTTTATATAGATAATATTGAATTAGGTTTGATTTTAGGGTGAAAATCTAGAATATGATATGATTCGAGATAATATTAATAATATATTTTCTTATACAAATTTAAAAATAATTGATATGATACAAAATCATTTTATAGTTTTTTTAATCAGGTCTCTGTTTGACTTACTGAATATATATATATATATATATATATATAAATGTTTAATCAAATCTGGATTTTTATTCTAAAAATTTGAGTTGGATCAGAATCGAGTGAAGAAAATATGCTCCTTGGATCATATCAGATAGAGTGGATAACATATATTTTTGAGTCAAGTTAGGTTGGTAAAAAATCCAATTTAACTTGACTTGTTGCCATAAGATACCATAAAAACGGTACAATAAATTTTATAAAATGAAGTATAAAGATTAAATTTTAAAATAAGATACAATGCTAAAATTAGCCCCCAACTATTATTAAAATGATCATTTTAGCTCTTATTTTTTTGTGTGTGATTATTTTAGCCCTCAACGTTTTTATTTTGAGACAAAAAGTCACATTTATAGATGGAAATCGTAGTTCACATACCATTAACGCTTCAAAATAGGGGTTTTTATCCTAAAATGAAAAGTTTAGCCAAAATGCTCTAGAAAAAAAAAGGAACAAGGGTCAAAGTGACTATTCTTTCAAATGTTATGGGTCTTTTGATCCTAAAATGAAATGTTAGGGTTAAAATGTTTCAGAAAAATAATAGGGCCAAAATGACCTTTTTGATAAATATTGGATACTAATTTTGACATTAATTAATATACAAACTTTAACAAATTGAAACAAAAAATATATAAATTAAATTATTAATAAAAATAGTTAAAAATTTAATTAAAATCAAATATAATTTTATATTTATATTATATAAAACGTTAAAACAATTCGATTATATATGATTTTGGGTTTGGTCTAAACCTTATTATCTTCATTGTTGTTGTATCTTGAATGTTGGCATTGCTGTGCTGGCTTCCCTTGTTATATCATTACTCCAAGCCGATACTTGACAAGTAGTTGGATCGGATAAATCATCAACTAAATAACAATAATTAAATGAGTCTTAGGTATGCCATGACAGTGAACTGAAAGAGCTACGTTTGACTTAAATTTATGTGTACAAAAAAATAACAATAATTAAATCTATAAATAACGTATTATATGAGAACTAATAACCTACTTTACAACTACTAAAACTAATTAAATTAAGATAAATAGATTAAATCAATATATTGTAGGAATGTTTAATTATAGTTTAAAACTAATAACTCAAATTGTATGTTTCAAAATTCAAATTCAAGATATATATTTTTTTCTAGTTTTCCTTACAATTTTCTTTACTAATTCATATAGATATGTGTCAAGGATAAAATATATAAATCGTTATTAAACTATATTGAAACAATTTTTTAATTAATAAATTTTGGAAACTACAAAATATTTTAAAATTTTAAAATCTAAAGATAATTATAACAGTTTAATAAGTTTTATGATAATAATTAGTTACAATTTTTGAAAATTTAATAGCAAAACAAATAATTTTTAACACAGTTTATTAATCATTTGCGGACTTGACCCTAAAAAACCCTTTAAAAGGAGGTTAGCAGAACAGAGCAAAGCAAAGAAAAACTAAAAGCCAAACATTGTTAGATGCCGTCCTGAATTTACTATTTTTTCCTTCCTATCGTTCGCCAAACATGGGAGGAGATGTAACTGGATCATTTATTACCGCCGTCGGCGCCACTAGGACAGCCCCTTCATACGGTGGAGGCCCGGCTGAACCTCAGTACGTTTCGGCGAAGACGTCGGTTTGGTGGGACATAGAGAATTGCCACGTCCCCAAGGACTGTGACCCTCACGCGATCGCACAGAACATTAGTTCGGCGCTGTCTAAGATGACCTACTGCGGGCCCGTTTCCATATCCGCCTACGGCGACACTAATCGGATCCCTTGTTCCGTTCAGCAGGCGCTATCAAGCACCGGCATCGCACTCAATCATGTCCCCGCCGGTAATTCGAGATCTTTAACTTCCTTTATTTCATAATCACCGTAGTAAATCAAGATTGAATCGTTGTTTCTTATCGGCTTAATTGCTAAGTAATCGTTGTTTCTTTTTGTTTTCTTGTGAACTTGAAAGCTGGTTTACTATGCGGATGTTCTGATATAGGGTTTCAACTTGTTATATTGATTTTGAAATTAAGACTAAGATGTTTTAGAACTAGTGTAGTTGAGGTTTATACTTGGGCAGGTGTGAAAGATGCGAGTGATAAAAAGATTCTAGTTGATATGTCGTTTTGCGCTGTAGATAATCCTGCCCCTGCAAATTATCTGTTGATTTCTGGCGATAGGGATTTTTCTAATGCGCTCCACCAGTTACGAATGAGGAGATATAATATTCTTTTGGCGCAGCCTCTGAAGGCATCTGCAGCCCTTGTTGCTGCAGCCAAGAGTGTATGGCTTTGGATGAGTCTTTCGTCTGGTGGTACGCCTCTTTCAAATGGTGAATCAACTAAACTTGCTAATGATCAGAATAATTTTATCTCTGAAATGTCATTGTATAATCCAATTTCTGAAATGGTTCAGTATAGTCAGCAGATGGTTTCTGGTTCTGAAAATGTTACAACGGGGCAAAATGTATCTAATGCTGGAAGGAATGGTGATAGAAAATACGAAGGGAAATTTATCAGGAAAACTCCATATCAGCCAAGCAATTCAAGAGCTTCTAGTGTTCCAACAACTACCATTCAAGAAAATATGAACAATGGTTATTCTTATCAGCCAGAGTATGCACAAACAAAGTCGTTTAAGAAAGCACCACATGAATTTTTTGGTGGTAGTGAGCCAGATGTTTCTGCTAGCTGGTCTACGCCAAACGTTTTGCCTAGCAATCCTAACCCTTCAGGGAGTAACAATGCTAATTTTGTTGGCGTTCTTCAGAATCATCATCCTCATTCGGTGAGACCAAATAATCTTCCTCTGCGACCAGCTTTTCCACAAGATAATTTCCTACCCCTGAATTCACAAAATCATGGTTTCCACCCGATACCTTCTAGAGTGGAGGGGCCTAGATTTCCTTCCCTATTCTCAAATATGCCTGATGTTGCTAAGTTAAATATCTCTGAACGCTCCACCTATCCTCAAAATGGTAATAATTTTCCTCATCAAATTGGAGAAAACTTGAAAACAAGCTCTATCGAGTCATTGCCTAATCAAACTAGCCTACATACACCACAAAGAAGCCGTTTGTTCCACAATGGACAAGCAAGTCAGCACGATACTTTTACTAATAGGTATCCACGGGCCCCTGAATTTCCACCCTGGCCATCCTCAGCAATTTCTAGTTTTACTAATGGCGTTTGGGGAGCTGAAGGACGTTCACTTCCTTCTGAATATGTTCAAGGTTTTATTGGTGTTATCCTACTCGCATTAAATTAAACACACTCAAAAAAGAAAAAAAATATGCCTACTGAAGCAAACATTACTGATTGCATTCGTTATGGTGATCCAAAACACTGTAATACTAATGTAAGGAAGGCTTTGGACAGTGCAATTGAGCAACAAATGGTATTGAAGCAAAGTTTAGGAGCAATACAGTTGTACGTAGGTAGAAATGAGAAACTATGGAAGTGTCAATCTTATTGGTGGGAATCCTAACCAGTACCCAAAGACAACATGGGATGGAATACAAAAGTTTTTGTCATCCTCTGATGGACGATCAGTAATGATGGCTTCTCGATGCAGGTAATTATGCTTGATGTTCTACCTCTCTCGCTGTCTCTGTCATGTTTCCTATTTTTAATTGTTCCTAGGCTTAATTTTGTTATCAGCATTGCCAGATATGAAGCGGCTAAGAAAAGCATGCTCGGAAGAATTTTGTTTAGGTGATGTTTTCCAGATATTAAATATGATAATTGCATTGAAGAAATGGATTATACATCATCAGTCAGGATGGCAGCCAATTGCAGTAACCCTTCCAGATACTAGAACAGAAATAGCTACTGAGACTGCTGCTTGACCTGGACAAGAGTGGTTTTGATACTGTAAGTGACCCAAATGTGGTGAAAGATTGTGTTCACGGAACTGGTTGGGGGGGGGGGTAAGAAACTAGGGTGACTTTGGGAAAGAAAAATAAGTATAAAAAACTAGGGGCAAATTTGTTTTGGGATAATGAAGGCAAAGGTAAGAATAGATATCTTTTCATAATGTTTGTTTTTTCGTCATTTTTCTGTTTTAATATTTGCTGGGAGACTAAGATATGGAGTGGCTGAAGTGGTTAAGATATGTTGGAGTTATACTAGGAACTCCCAGTTAGGAGTTGATTTCTGCATCTCAATCCTGAAGAATTTTTGAGGCCGTGCTTATGTGCATTTGGTATATTACAAGCAATCCCTCGTATGTTTGGTCGTTGCTGGTATCGTGTAGTTAGTTACATGAGGCTTTCTTCTCTCCATCACAATATAGTTAGAATTTTACTGCTTTGTATGCCTTTTTGTGTCAACAGTTGATTCCATGCTGCTGTATGAGCTGGTTTAGTTTTACTATACCATCTGTAGTATCTCCTCATCTATATCATCATACTCTAAGAAACTTTTGAAGATGTACTGGGACTTCCCGATCTTATTGGAGAGGTTCTTGATCAGCTGCTGCCTAATGGGGGCATAAATAGTGATAGATATGATAAAGGCAAAGCGACAAAGATTGATATTACCAGTAAAGCTTGGCAAATCTCATCGTGGAAGTATGAATATGGAGCCTTATTCTGGGTCCTGGCAATATACGGTGTAAGTACTTTAAGCAATTGTGGACAATGGAGTACATGGACTTAAACTTATCAATTAAGTATATGTATTATATTGAACCTTGTGTTGTTTACTATGGAAATGGTTGTACCCTTAATGCCATTAAGTACACACTTTTAAATGTTTTGAAGTTAAACTTGGCTTAGTAACTATTTGCATTTGTGGATATGTCAATGGAACTACGGTCAAATCTATAGCAGATCACCCTCATGAGAGATTTGGTTTTGCTAGATTCTGTCTCTTTGAATGTTTTCCTCTTAAGTCTGTCACTTCTACTGTCGTATGCCGTTGCCCGTTGGGCCAAGTTCTTTCACCCGCAATCAGGGCATTGGAGCAGTTCAAAATTGCTATTGGCTTTGAAAGAACTACCCGGTTATTCAATCGGATCCATCTTTTATTTTCTAATTTACCTTTGTAGTGTTACTTGTGGAAAGCAAGATTGGAGTGTAACAAATAACATATTCAAGTATTGGAGTTAACCAAACCAATAACAAGTGTATGAGTTGAGAACACGAAAGAATTTAGGTATAAATTTTAAAGATAATATTAAAAGTAACCAGAATGCGCTGCTTAACACGGGGTTCAATGGCAGGAGCTCGATGACGTACGTGCACAATAATAATATATTGGTATCCAAAATTGTAGTACCTACGGTCATTGAACTAATTTTATCCTGAAGCTTATTTTTACTTTTATGTTGTAACTCATTGAGAGAATTAATCCATTGAAAATTTGGACATTTAAGCGGTTAATTCTTTAATCAATTGATTAAAATTTCAATATTAATTTTTCATTATTTAAAATTTAAGCTCATCAAGTAGATTCACTTTCCAGTCCACTTAGCCGGAAGATAAGTTATACTTAATCGGATGCCCTACGCATGGACCATTGTTTATGGAATAAATGGACTCAAAGAAAGCGAAATTTTTTACATTTAATTGGGATGTACAACTGTAGGCAAGAGCTGGAAAATGGTCCTCCAATGTCCAGGCTGAGATAAACCAGCCCCCATACCTAAAACCAATTTGGCTACGGAGCATAGAATACCGTAACTCCGTCTAAATACGACAAAAATGTCAATATCAAAAGTACATTATCCCTATTATTAGTGTCCAAGAAGAAACCAGATGCACGACCTTAGAGGATATTGCATTCGAACAGCTTAAGGTGAATGTGGAATTCAAACCTGTGTAATAGCACACATCCGATACGGACTAAGGCTCGCAATGGTAGAGGTGAACACAACAAGACCGCAATAAAAACTGCACAATTACCAGCTCAGTCAGGGGAGAGGATTTTTCTGGACATTTCTCTTTTTTACTTTCTGTAGGTCCCGAGAAGATGAAAATACAGACTATCTAGGCCCCCTAAACATACGTAATATTCAGCCAAAAAGTGACTTACTCATCATGCTTCTAGTTACCTGGTAGCATTTAATCACCCAAGTCAAACCCATAACAAATAAGAACGAAACGAAATCCCAAATCCATACGATTTCTTCTTCCCCCAACAAGCCTTTGGTACTGCTCTTTTGACGTGTTAACATGTAGTTAAAGAAGGCAACTCCTAAATAGAAAGGAAAAAAGACCATAAAGAAAATATAGTTACTATTACTTCTGAAACAAGAAATCACCTTCTGTACCTGTGACAATCATAACAAGCAATTTCAAGGTTTCACTCGGCTAATGTAATAGTACCCATCATGGCCGATTGATGCAGACACAATGCACTCACCTACTTGATCCAATTCCATCAAGTAGAAATTTGGGGTTTAGGATAACAAATAACTAACCTATAAAAGTAAAGGAAAAGAAAAAGACGCAATGTTCAAAGAGAATGCTGTGCAATATCAAGCAGAGCAATTATCATCACTAAGATGCAAGTTCTAGAAAAGTACATCAACAAATACCAAACCGTCAAGTGCCAAGAGATAAATAAAATTGACAATCATAACAGCATGAAGGAGGCGGTATAAGCTTGATGGTACCAATTGCGGGGATTGATGCAGAAAGATGAGCACACCTACTAAAGAATTGCCATAAAAAAGATCAGAAAAATTGAAATAATGTTGGCGACATTAATACTTTGACAACGATATATGGCACAACAAATTACAATATAAGAATTGGCCTTTTGACAATGTCAAATTACTTCTTTTTCTATTGATATCCAGTTACTGGAAACAGATATCTCATGGCTTACTCAAGTTTAATGAGCCACATTGAAGATAAAACTAATATGTCAAATCATCATCAAGAAAATCAAGACCATCATCATCAGTGGTAACACCTCCAGCAGAAGCGATAATATCCAATGGTTCAATAAAACCAGCAATTGTGACCATTTCTGTAGGTTTCTTTTCTTCACTCTCGTGTTCATCCATATCATCTCCGCAAAATTGTTCCACCTCATTATAAATGATCTCCTAATTCAGGAAAAATGATTCGAGAAAGCATTAAAATTGGCAAATCCTAAAAGAAAACAATTTAAATGGAAATGAAAGGTACCTCATCTTCTGGCATGGCTAGCTTCTCAGTCTCCACAAGCCAGTCATCCAATACACTTTCTAACATGGAACTGTCAAAGGAAACCAACTCATCAGGCTTCCTTCCAAGTTGGCGTTCTCTCAGTCTCAAGTTATAGTGGACAAAGGTCTGATCACTCAATCTCTTCCGGGACAAACAGTTGCGTCTTTTGATGCGAACCTGATCAAATGAACTCCAGTTATGCTCACACCCAATTGATGAACATGTTGGCTTAGTATGCGTATGGCGATTCGTTGTAGCTCTAAGCATCTTATTCCATGTTGTTGCCACCATGAAGCTAACGATGAAACATAAATTAGCAAAATTTTCATTCAACATGAAAAAGCAAAAAAAAAAAAAATGAAATACAAGTTCTTGAATAGACAGTCCTGCACATAAAATCCTGAATCACCTGGATCAAGCTCGTTTCTAGTACTTATGGCCAAATCAGTTCCGAAATCAGCTTTTGCTGACACAAAATCAGGTATCTGATAAATGAAAGGCAAAAGAAAAAAATCCAGTCAGATTAGAGGGCCACAGCTGCTTTCACGGTAATCAATGTGGACCCATGGATAAATAGATCTGTCATCGATTAACATACCAGACGTAAAACCAAGCAGAAATAAGAAATCATTACCTGCATGGATGCAGAAATTTTTTCCCATTGTCTGCCTCCAATCGGACAATACACTCATTTAGACCACGAATTACGTCAGGATTCTTCAGTAACACAAACAAGAAGTCAAAATTAAGCATGGAAGAAATACACAATCAAGAAAATATAAGGGTCGAGTAGCTGTATATATAGTTTAAAATATCTGGGCGATACCGATAGGACGGATTGAGATAGTATGCAGCAACATAAAGAGGATGATGGAACAATGAACTCCAATTACTATCAATCACACTCCAAAAAGGTCCATATTTACGAACATCATCACCATGAATGGCTCTATTTGCAAGCTTTGTTCTACAGATGTCATTATATATAAATGGCATTGATCGGATTTTATCACTACCTATTTTCTGAAGAACTTCAGCAACTGGTTCTAAGGATTTCTTCACATACTGCATTTTCTTCCAAAATGGAACATTTAAGACAATTTTTTCAATCTCTCTACCTTCATCTAATTTGGAAAAGCGGGAAGAAAGCCATCTATTTGATTGGAACATTCTCTTAAGATCAACTCTCTGGTCCAACAAACTCTGTAAAGTGAAAAAGTTAGTGGCAAACTTTGTGACAGCTGCCTGAAGAAGTTCCTGTCCCTTTGTAAATTATTTTTTCATAAAATTCAACAACCACGTATTGTTATAAATAAACCTTGTCACTTTTTTTGCTTTCGCTATGCATTCTCCCACCCATTTTATATTCACAAAATCCTCAAACATTCTATCAATGCAATAGACAGCACAAGGCGTCCAAAATAAATTTCTCATTTTCTCTTCAAGCATCTTTCCAGCATTCCTGAAACTTAAAGTGTTCCCAGTAATCATCTGCAACAAAGGAAACAACTCAGAAGAGTGCACACTGCACACTCATACAGATATAAAAGTATATTTCACAAAGAAACAAGAGTATAGATATACAAACATGGACTACATATTCCTCGCCAACCTCGTCTACTGCTTTGTCTAACAACTTGAAGAGATGAACTGCATCTTCTATCATATCAGTTGCATCAACAGAAAATAGAAAATAAACACCACGAGGGCAAGAGACCAAAAATTTGATAAGTGTCCTCCCTTGTGCATCGTTCCAACTGTCAGCCATGACAGAACAACCAGTGATTGCCCAAGATGTCTTAAGCTCCACTAAGTACTCCTTAATATTAGCAATTTCCTGAAGGAGACGACCAAATATCAGTCGAATTGAAGGACCTTGCAAACCTTGCCCATACTGACCAACCAGTTCCAGCATTCTACGGAAATATGGAGAGTTTGCTGCATTAGAAGGGATTCCTGCATGGTAAAAGAATTTGCAGATTGCAGATATCACTTCCCTGTGAGCTTTCTTCTCAAACCCTTTTCTTGCTCTTGGTTGTTTATAGTGAGCTGATGTCTGGCTTTTCAGCGACTTCAAAAATACTAAATCCAGTCTTGATTTTTTATGTAGTGGTTCGGCACCATTACCCCTACTACCAGGAGATCTACCTCTGAAATTATTTCTAACATCATTGTCAGAAACTTTATCATCAATAGCCAGCATATCCTTACTTATAGATTGCAAATAACCCTCCTCCTCTCCACCTTCATCCTCATTATCTGAGTGCAAGTAGAATGTGGAGATCTCCTTGGTATCAGGTTTCCGATGCCTTCTACCAGTTCGGTGCCATTTCATGTTTTCTTTGATTTTGAGATATACCTCTTCAGGTGCCTTCTCACAGTATGAAACTTCTCCAGGGATCCTAGCAAGATGTTGCTTAAACCGATTTATGCCCCCACTTATTATTTTCTCACAATAGTTGCATTTTACTCTTCTCTTCTTCTCATCTTGAGCAACACAATGCTCCCATCCTGGGTCTACATATCCTAATGATCGAAGAGGGGTGAACTTGATAACCAAGTTCTTCTCACCCATCACTTTCTTCCCTTTGTTTATAACTTTCAGAAGCATATTCTCCATCACTGTAATCGTTAGATTGGATACTTAGAGCAGCCTGTTCATAATCTGATTGCCTTCGTTTTCTACCAGAATGACATCCTTCCAGATTTTTTCTCATATTAAAGCTTACTTCTTCAGGAACCTTTTCACAATGAGTAACTTCACCAGACAATCTGGCTAAATGTTGCTTCAATCTAAATATTCCACCATTGACTACTTTCCCACAGTAGTTGCATTTAACTTTCTTCTACCTTTCATCCTGAGCAGTCCCATGCTCCCATCCAGGATCAACATATCCTATGGACCGAAGTGGGGCCATCTCTTCAACCATTCGTCAAGTAGCACAAGAGCAGAAACTTTATATCACGTGGCTGTTCATAATTTGAAATGAAAATAAGTTTATATATATATAAGTTTATATATATATAAGTGAATAGAAATTTATAAATTTGTAAATCAAGACAGTAGAATTAAATTCCAGCCATAAAGTGAATTGACAATTCTGAACACTGGAAATCCCTTTCCACCCGCAAATCACCTGTTGCATTTGCATATCCCTCAAAGGTAGAGCTTGTTTACTTTGTTCCTCAACCACATTGCACGAATCCTATAAAGAAGGCCTGAGCTAGTTATCAAAACTTAGAAAGTGAGTTGGAAACCAAAAAAGCAGGCAAAGCAAAAGGTTATGAAAAAAATTCCCTGAAAAGCACCAATACAGCAAACAAAGACATTTTCACAGCCGGAGGAGACCACCATAATGTGGCAACAAAGTGTAATCTAATGCTTCCTAAGTTTAGATGGCAAGTTATTATGTCTTCACAAAAGGTGCTACCCTTGGAGAGCGCAAAACAAGAGCTTTGATCCCATATCAGATTGCATAGCCTACTTGAGATTTTGCAAACCAAGATTTTTAGAGTATAAAATTTGTCTAAATTGTATACGAACAGAATAACTACCAGACTGTAGGCTAGTTGAAAAACTTGTGCAGTTTGAACGAAACGACCACCTACAGGCAAGTTGAATAACTACCAGACTGAATTTTTTTTCGAATTGCAGAATATATCTATATATTTTTTCACACCATTATCTCATACATTATTAAGACTCAGCAGTAAATACCGTTACTAATCCTTGCTTGGACCATGTATTTAACAAAAACAAGGTGCAAATCTATAAGCAATCTAGCTAGTAGCTCCCTACAGTAGGAAAACATCACGAGAAAGCCTTCAGAGGTAGTATATTCTAGATACAGTAGAACTACTGATGTTCACTACTAAATGCTTAAACTAGAAAGCATGTTGCTAAGTATAGCTAAAACCAATACTACAACAACCAGAATTTCCAAACCATAATACGAATATTCAAAGACAGAACCAATGAATATGTGGACTATAATCAAAGCATTCATTAAAAAAAGAAAGATAAAATGTTTAAAGGCATTTCGATAACTTGAATTTAGACCCCTCTGAAGTCTTTTGCTGAACTGGAAACAAGTCAGGATGTGACTCCCATACTTTCTTTCTATAAGCAACCGAAATCTAACCGAATCAAAAAATGGAAAAAATTTGTTAGTATAACTGATTGAAAGCGAGAAATTAGAGCTACAAACTCCATAAGAAAAGCAAGTGGCATTCATACATTTCAATCCAAGTTAACAACAACAATAAAATGAGGTTTAAAAAAAACCCTAAAAATCAAGATTTAAGAGCGAATGAAAAAGGGGGAAAGGAATGGCAATAAAAGGAATTAAAAAAAACTGAGTAGGGTGACAATTAGAGGAGAAGCTTAGCAAGAGGCTGGCTTCATCACCCTGCATTTCTGTAAATCAGAACTACCGGTGGTCCCCCCCCCCTGAATTATTTTTTCTCGTAATATTGGGAAAAAGTTTTTAGAAGTGAAACGCTCAGCTATTTTACAGGCGTTAGATAGCTAGTCGACGGTCACCAAGATTCTGATCATTGATGGGATCGAAATTAACATTTTCTATATTGGCTTTATAATTTATGTTTAAAATTCGTAATTGTTTTTTTATAATATTATTTTGAGCAAACTACACTTTTAGTACCATCAACTATCATTTTTGTTTATTTTGGTCACCCAACTATTTTTTGTTTCAAAATCACACCTAACGGTTACATTTTAGTTTCATTTTAGTACCAACTATTAAAACATTAATGGCGGCGCTAACGTGTCATCATACGGTAATATCACGTCATCATTGATTTTTTTTTTAAAAAAGACACATCAATTGTTCTGTTAATTTTTTATAGCAGGTGATCAAAATGAAACTGAAAAGTAACGTCAGACATAATTTAAAAAAAATAATAGTTGAGTGATCAAAATAAAATAAAAGTGATAGTTGATGTACTAAACATGTAGTTTACTCAAAATAATATTATAAAAATAATTATGAATTTCAGATTGGATAAAATTCATCTAAATCTAGATCAAATCATGTAACGAATGAATGAGTGTTGTGCTAGAATCGAGTTCAAATGAACTAAAAATTCAACTCGAATAGTCACTATACCCATTCGAGAACATGTTGGTTAACTGGTTTCAGTGTTGTCTCTTCTTGCATTTATAACTTTGCTGTGTGCTTTCTAGTTCGGTGATGAATCAAAAATTTCTCATTTCTTGTGGTTGGGAAGGAGTGATGAGATTGAACATATTGGATTACATCTATGTTTACATTTATACCTAATCGTCAAAGTAAATGAGGAACATAGTTGGTCATAGCTAGCTAGCGTGACGTTTTGCACTTGCTCTACTAACTGTAACGCATCATCATTCATTCCAAATTCTCCAGCATCAATGATGCTATCGCTACATCTACCTCTTCACATGAAGGATATCCTACTATGTGGTGTGTCTTTAGACACGGTAAATTTGGTACAAAAACATTAGATGTTCCAACCACTCAGCTAAAGCTTTAGCACGATTATGGCAAGTATGGTCCCACAACTATAAGTGCCAACAATTGTCAAAAATCATTAATAATTGGGGGTTGAAATTAACTAGCTTCTATACCATCTATTTTGTGAAAAAGCGTAGGGTAAGTGGGTGACCGTTGTTTTTAAATTTTTAAACGAAAGGGACTCAAAAGGCTGCTGCAAATAATTTTAATTTTTAAATGATTTTATGTATTTTAATTTTTAGAATTACGATAAATAATTATTTTCGAGAGATATAATTATCTTTATAATTTCTATAATTATTAAAGTTTCAAATTTATAAGGATATTGAGAGAGTGTCTTGGGATACACTAAATTATTTTAATATCTATTAGATTTTATCACATTTATATTTTAAATAAAATTTATTTAATAATAATTATAAATGAAGTGATAAATGAATAAATGATTTGTATTTAAATCTATTAGTTACGTGTTCAACATTTATTAAGGACTTTTAGTTTATTTTATATAAAGATTATATAAATGAATAAAAAATAAAAATACTTTTAAAATTTGAATTGTGAACTTTATTAATAATATTCGCACTATATTTAAAATGTTTGCGTGAGTTTGATATCGTCGGTAAACTAGACATTAATTTAACTCAAAGTTATTAATTTATTTTTATGTAAAAATAAATGATTTAGTATTTTATCCCATTAAAGAAAATAATTTTTGATTGATAATACACTACTTGTAACAATGGAATGATAATCCTTTATATTGATTACTTGAATAAAAATATGATTAAGGTACAATGCAATACCACATTAGGAAATATAACTAAAAGAATAAACTTCAAAGCCAAGCGCTTCGAGCTTTGGTCAGTCTCTTTTTCTTATCATTTGCGCTAACAAAGAATCACATGAGAATAATATCCACGTCACTAAGACTCCATTCTGCCACTTCATCTTTGTCACTAATGAAAATCTCAGTGCCCATATCAATAGATGTCCATATTCTTTTAGCTGGAGGGGTATCCGGATCCTGAAATTGAAAAACCAAATGACCCATCAACCAAAAACAGACCCCGTAAGTGATGGCAAACAGTAACAAGTACAAACCTGATAGAAGTAAAGCCTACTGGCCAGGCCACCGGTGTCGAGCACCCATGTTCTCGGATCCCCGACCCAACCCTGACCCTTTTCAGTTGGATACCCGTATTGACCCCATATAGGGTGAGGCAGCAGCTGAACAATCTCCTGTGCTTGTGGATTGCTGTACGGATCACAGAGACTAACAGGCTGCTCCAAGTGTTGAGCATTACCGGGAGCACAGTAGTAGTGGTAAGCTCCGTAAGGGAAATTGGCGGTGTCGTTTCTGTAAATCTTTCTGTCGTCGGGAGTTATATGGTACGGTGGGCAGTTCCCCAATGCCGTGGGGCTGCACAAAACTGGCGTATCAGGGTTTATGATAATCTCACTGTATCGTGTGACATCTGTGAGCACATCTCCATCACAGTGCTTGCCATTGTTCTTCCAGCAGCTGCCTATGTCAAGAAGGTAGAATTGGCTCTTTGGTCCTCCTCCTTTTTTGACTTCCAATCTGAACTTGACTTTAAAATCAGATTCCGGGAGCTGAAAGTGAAAACGAATCGGTCAGTGTTTAAAAACCCAGATTATAATGATAGTTTCAAAAAGTTTTCAACTTACAGAATTGAGCATGCCTCTTGTTTCATAATGGTATCCACCAGAGAATCCTTTGGTCGCATCAGCTCGAAGGTAAAGCATCAGCCATGGATACTTGGATGTGGTCTTGAGCTTATGGTTAAAGACCCAACTTCCAGAACCAAGCTTTTTCTCCCAAATTACTTCATAAAATGATAGATTAAGGTCTTTCCCGATATCAGCATCCAAATCATAAGTCCCATTGAACCATCCCCTCATTGTACCATCAGGTAACAGTTGTGTAGGTTGATGGTTCAAAGTGGGTTGATTCATGCAGCCTTTGCCGTAGCAAGGGAACCTCTTTGTGGTAAAAGGAGGGATGGGGTTTTTCCCATTTTCAGGACAGAGACCGGTGGTTGTGTCGAAGTTGCCATTTTTCAACATGACCATCCAAAATTGCCATGGGTTTGAAGTTTCTGAAACTTCACATAAAGAACCCAAATAGAGCTCCTTCTGAGCTGCATAAAGATCCGGGTTGTACATTACATCTGCAGACATTCCTTTGAAGGTTTTGCCTATTCCAAGCCTGTTATCAACCTCGGATACCTTGTGTATCAGTGTTGAATCTGACCCCCATTAACAACAAAGAATCAGAACACTAAAGTGAAAAACATGAACGACAACTCGATGGTTTTACAGATTTACTTACTTGAAACATCAAAACAATCAGCAGCTCTGGGACTCCCCATGTGAGGAGCTTCAAGTGCAACTTCATTGCAGAAATTCCAAGCTTCAAACGCCACTCTCAAACCATCTCTTTTCATCCCCGGATCGCCCACTGCCGACATTTCTTTTTCAGCCGATCCCCATGGAAGCAAATGTGCCCACACAAACATCAGAACCAAATGCTTCTTCATCGCCTCTTCTTCTCTCTGCTTTTCCCCCTCCCGTTTTCACAGTTATTTATCAGGTGTCAAGACTTCAAGCCATCTTTGACTACATCTCCATGTTATTTGGTTCCTGTTCTTTTCACTCCTTGGGGACTTCTTTCTTTCTTTCTTTCTAGCCGAAAGGAGAGATGTATGGAGTAAGAGTTGCCTAGTGGTTTGGTTTTTCGAAAGTGGTTGGATTCATTTTTTGACTTGCAAGTAAAATCTATGTCAATTACCTTGAAAAGATGCGGCATGCCATGTGTAAATTGGTGGGTTGGTTGGTCCCATCGCTTTAGTTACCAACAATGGCTTATTTCATTCTTAATCAAAACACGTATCAGCCTCGAATCTCTTGTTGGATTGCGTGACAAAATGTTTCACTTTAGTTCGAATCTATTAATGAAAGACTTTGTCCCAAAACGATGTCCCATCACTTTAGTTACAAATAATTGTTTCTGGCAAAAGTGCCCAAATAAGGCATCTAGAAAACTAATACACTCATCCTATTAATTTCTATTCTAGTGTACCTCCTAAAGTCCCATATCTCTAGACATATTCAGGCTAAAATTTTGTTCTATTGGATTATCAGGCGTTTTTAGTTATTTTTTTATTATTATTGTGTATTTTTTGGAGACTTTCCCTAAAAATCACCTTTTACTTAAATATTTATGTGTCATATACCTTTTTGAAATAATATTCTCGATCTAACACCCTTTGTATTATTTAATTTTTTTCCTTAAATCATTATGTTAAAATCTATACTGAAGCGACATCTTTCTTCTAGTACTTCTAACATGAACCTTCATTATCACCTCCTCAAGAGTTATATTTCTCTTGAAAGATATTTTAACATAATGATTTGATACGAAAACAACGTTGGTTTCATCTTCCTGAATTTATCCATCATAATAAACAATAGCTGAAATTCGCTTCATTCTTACACATAAAAGTAAATAATTTAAATAATATAATTTTATATTCTTACCGTATCGGCAAAAATATTTCGACGTATGCTATCGCTTTCCAATTTTACAACTACAAAAATTAATTGAAAATAATTACTATAATATTTTTTTCAAATAATCATATATAATTATAAAAAATATTATATATTAAAAAATTACCTTACAACGAAAGATCGAACGAACTTCTAAATCAAAGATAAGATGATTGTCGGGTGATATTTAATGAAATATTATCTCAAAGGGTGTCTGACACGTAAATATTTAAGAAAATGTGATTTTTTGGGAAAATCTCAAAAATGCACAGTAATCATAAATAATTTAACTAAAGACGTCGGGTAATACTAGGAGCAAAAACTAAGACGCTGGGTAATCTCATAGAGCAAAATTTTAGCCTGAAGACGCTGAGATGTCCTGGGGACTTTAGAAGGTACTGTATAAAATACACTAAATGAGAAATTAATCGGTTGAGTGCATTAGTTTAGGAATTAAACATTCCCAAATGCCTTATTTGGGCACTTTTGCCAATTGTTTCATTCATTCCTAATCAAATGGTCTATGATATCATTGTGAAGTAGATTATAATAAAGATTGTAATTTAAATTTAATTTAATGGTTTAAAGAATTCGAAATATGATATGTTTGATGAAGAATTATAATTTAAAATACAAGATTTCGAATTATGCATTTACTTTTTGCATATTGTAATATAATCTAAATCATATATTATTGAAAAAGTCATGGTACGAATAACTTCACTATAAAACTCTGAAATTTGTATAGAAACAAAACCTATGATTATATCGAACTTCGTCGAATTGATGCAGTGTTTTGTTGATATCTGTATGAACAATGATTTTAAGATAAATTTGTCATCTCCTTGATGTTTGAGAACATTAAATGATTATCTCTCAAGATACAACAACAAACTTTCACGCTTAAATAACACGATTTTCGTAAACAACCGAACTCAACCTTATCTTCTTCTATAAAGAGAAATCATTTTTGAATATGATATATTTTTTGTGTATTTTTAGAATTATTGACCAACCTTCTTCTATAAAGAAAAAAGGATTTAGTGTGGGTTAATGTTATTTGAAAAAAGATTTATTAATAGTAATTAATTTTTAAATTTTAAAAGTTAATTTTTCAAAATTAATAGCGAGAATCGGTTTCATATCATATGAACATTAATAACATTTGATATTAAAATTATTATTATATGCAAAAGAATATTCTATTGAGAAGAATAAATTACATGGGCTAAAATTTTTATAAGGCCGCACATGTTCAGACATTTCACATCATCCACATTAGGCCAGTACGCCTATATTCTTAATTGGGATCTCACTTATTTATAGGATGTAAATGAATGAAACAAACATGAATGAAACTCTGTTCATGTTTATTTATTTAACTTTAGTCGAAAAAATGAATGAACATGAAGAATTAAATGAATGAAATTTCTTGTTCGTGTTGGTTTATTAAGAAATATAATTTGTTCGTGTTTGTTCATGTTTATTCGTTAAAATAAGAAACGAATAAAAACAAACAAATGTAAACGAACATAAAATTAATTGGGGTTTTATTTGAGAAAAATTGTTTTCTTTCCAAATAATTTTAGGATTTGTATTTTCTTTAATTGATTTTGGTTTTTTATTTAAAATTAATTAGGCTTTAAAATATTAATAGGTTTAAGGTTAAAGTTTATCATGTCATAATATTTTAAAAAGATTTAAAGATTGTGTTGAATATAAACAAACAAATATATATAAATATATTATCTAACGTTCACGAACGTAAATGAATAAACATAAATAAATGAACGAGATTTTTATTTAAATTAATTTATTTAATAAATAAACAAACATAAAATAATTTCTCGTTGCACAATTATCAAACGATTCATTTACAGGCCTATTGATTTACGCCCCCATGCACCTACACACATTCAATAACCACCAAATTGATTCATGATTATAAAATACCTTTCAAACTCTCCTAAGTTTTCCATACAGGGTGAAAGTGTATTAAGCGCTAAAATTTCCTCAACTTTGATTATCAATTTCTAATTCATCTCTTAACCGTTTCGAGCATATTATATATTATTTTAAAGGTTTTATGGAATAAAATATAAATCAATAATTTAAATATATAATTTTATTAATAAAATAATATACTTCAAAATTCAAAAATTTCAATTATTTTCCAATAGTTTTAACAATCTTCCTATAATATTATCATCATATCTATGATTTTGTTTGTCAAAAAATTTTGGAGCTAGATTTGTATGTCTATTTTCCTTTTCTTTTAATTTACTATTGATTAATTGTCTTATCAAAGTTAATTAAATTTCAATCTTTCTTAAGTTTTTTTTATAATTTAATTAATTTTAAAACTTAATGAGTTTTAAAATTAATTAAATTAGAAAAACTTAAATATGAGTTTTAAAATTAATAATGATCTTAATTTTTTTTAATTTAATTATTTTTAAGATCTTTCAATTTCAAAATTAGTGAAATTAAGTTACCAACTCTTTTAGTTTTCATGGTTTAGTTATGTCTTAAGACCCAAATAATTTGTTTCAATACTGAGCAACTTAGCCCCTCATAATTCAATATTACCTTTGTCCTTATTAGACATATGCGACTAACGAAACGCATCTTTCTTGAGTTTTAAGCCATACACGATTCGTCAAAAACCAAAATAAAGAAAAGGGTTAGTAATGAAGATGAAATGAACAAATTTTTTCTTGAATCTGTGAGTACAGATTCTCCATGCGTGGTAAGCTAATCTAAAGCAGGTTGATATGTGTACATATGTATACATAGTTATCTGATTGTATATATCTTGTTTAGCAACATTCGCACTTCTTTAAAGATTTTAGGTTCAAATAATTATTTTTATATGATATATGCATATTCATTATCAATTAACTAAAAAACATGAATAAATATTATCTTATAATTAAGGCGAAAGATATTAAAACCATGGGAATTTGGGGCAAAGGTCTCCACTGTGACTGGCATTGCCAAAATACCTAACCGATGAAATGAAATTCCCAAGCACCGTGAAGCGTTAATAGGATCAATTAACATGCTTTACACAAAGTCTAAATGTGGAGCGTTGCTGGGAAACATGATGATTGTATCCTTTGGAAGTTTGGGATATAGCACACAATTTGCTTTCCGGGTATCATTCATTCAACAGTTTGTTTTTCCTCCACTCCTGATAACAGATGATTTTCACGAACATGCTTTGTCATTGGATATTAGATTTGACTATTGTGAAATTTACTTACACCCGCTCCAAACACTCATCCATTACCAAATGTCGAAAGAAATTTAGTTAGCGCTTCTCCATTTATTTACTTTTTTTTCTTTTTTTACCTAAGAAAAAAGAGAGAGAATATTTCGATTTTATCCGAAAATGATTAAAATAAATATTATAGGTGTTTATAAGTCATGTCAAATTTGATTGAATTTACATACGACACTAAAGATATATATAATTGTCTCCAGGGGTGAATCTACATTGTAGTTGGGATGGACAATTACCCCTTCCAAACTTTGAAGGTTTATTTAGTTTTAGATCACTAATATTTTTGAAATCATACAATTAAGTCTTTGTTCCCCTTAAAATTTGTTGGTTAACTATTTTTAAGACCTTTTCAGTTTTAAAATAAAATTATGTCTTAGACTTCTAATTTTTCTGGTTTAATTTTTAATTTTAAAATTATTGAAAATAAACCATATTTTCTTTAATTTTTATGATTTATTTCATTTTACATACCTTATTTGTTTCATAATTAAACAACTTATCCCCTCATAGTTCAATCTTAACTCTATCCCTGAGTGTCATAATCTAAATCGACTCTAATACGAATTTCAGATATAGTTTAAGTCGGTCTATGTTTATAAATGAATCATTTTTAAATATTTTGACAGGGGTTATAATAATAATGTTCCAAGTTGTTTGGTTCCGTTGTTGCTTTTATTGATTATCACGGATTACCATATGTACAACTTTGAAATCTCAGGACATTATATAACTAAATAAAAGGGAAAATGTAGCCATTAGTTTAGGGTCAAAGCTCAAACAAGTTGGTTTGAATTTCGTTAAAGCAGAAATCGTGGAAAAAAGGCGAGGAATATATGTGTTATCGCTTTAAAGAATTGGAGTTTGTGTTTGAGTTTCATATGCAATGACATAATATCATGAAGTCAACGAATATGGCATGAATGCTTGTGTTTAGTTCAACAACATATGTGTGTAAATATATATATATATATGCTATGTTCATTCTACTGTTTGTCTTTTGATGCGTAATTGTTTCTTTTAAGAATGTTATTTCTATGTTTAAATTTATTTTTTTATTGAAATATAAGATTAAGAATGGATATTGGATTTGCATAAGATGGATTCTGACCCCACTTGATTTTAAACAGCTGATTTTTTTTTAAAAAAATATTATTTCAAGTTGAGTTTGAGTTTAGAGTGAAAAATACATCATCTAGTTTGATCTATAAATAATATTACAATCAACCTTCATATTTTTAAATTAGGTTCGTATTTTACCTAATAAAAATGAAAAATATATATATATATATTTGTGTATGTGTGCATGTGCGTGTGTAGGGGGCAAGTGTTGCTCTAAAAGTTCGGTCGAGTGAAATCCTTCTAAATTCGAATGGAGTCAGGTGATAGGTGGAGGGGTATAATACTCGACTCAGATTCGCGTTGATCAAATTTTAGTTCAATCCGATCCATACCCATCTCTATATAAGACACCTATATTTAGTTAATGATTTATAATATAATATCAATTATTATTTGATCTATCGAAATGAAATATTAAATACCTTGATTAAGATTAAATGTTTAAATCTCAACATTATAAATAGATAAAAATAAATTGAAAGAGTCATTATCTTTATAATAAAATTTATAATATTCAGATTATTCGATCTATAAATTAAATATTAACAATTATCTATATTACGGATATATGAGTTTGAATTTACTACTAAAAAAGGGAAATTAAAGAAAGGCGTCTAGAAGTGCATCAAATGGGAAGCATCACGTGAATATAATATTGAATATGGTGGAAAAAGTTGGCCAATCCAGAAGGAGACTAAAGAAAAGTCAAAGACGTGAAAATTTGACATTTACGGTCCAATAATTTTTCAACGAATAATCCTAAGATATTGCTATTATTCTTAATTTCTTATTAGTTTTAACTTTAGCAATGTGTAGTTGATATATTTTATTATTTAATATATTGTTTGTAAAAAGAATGTATTTACAAGTGATCTTACAAGAATGGTAAGTGTTAAATTTACTTTAGCTTGGTCCAAGGCTTCGAGCGAATCTTGGTTCAAACTGATAACAGCGAAGGGTATCATCTCCTGCTCCATGCTTCGGTGGACTCTCCCTTTGGACAAGCTCGTCAGGTGTCGTCTTTGTTATACCCGTCTTGACATGTTAATTTTAGTCTGATCAAGCGATAGCCTAACCGTGCAGCAGACTTCATGGCAAAGTTCACTGTTAGACTTTGGCTCTCTTCAGTACCCCTCCGGACAGGGTCGATTCCATCCTTCGTCAGGACATTCATGGTCCTTTATTAAAGACTTCATTGATATATTTTTTCTTTAGCTTTTACTTCATTCAAAAAAATATTAATACACAATTCTTTTAAAAGGAATTATTATACACTTAAAACACATATTAAAAAATACAAATTTATATTACCTTCGACTGAATTACTAATAACTAATTTAAGCGTAATATCAATCAATAATACAATATAAATTTTTAACCTAATTTTTATAATTAAAAAAATATTATTATCCTCAACTGAGTTATAGCTAAAATGATACTATAGTGATTGTATTAAATAATTATATAGTGGGAGATTATCCTTCAAATAATAAATAAATAAAGTAGGAGCTTTCATCATGGCTAAGTGTCTCGATGAACTACCATGGGAGTTCTTTATGTGTTACACGTTACTTTTTTTGACTGGATTAATATTATTAATTTGGTTTAATGATATTGTTGATCCTTAAACTTTTTGAAAAAAATATTTTTAGCCCTTAATTATTTTTCCCATTTTAATTTTTTAATATTTACGTTTTTTTTAAAGTTAAAGCAATTGACGGAAAAAAAACTCAAATGAACAAAACATAGAGGTTAAAGGGTTAATATCCGAGGTTGTAATTTTCCAGTATATAGCGTAGGCCATAATAAATGAAAATATATACGTACGTATGAATAGAATATATATAATATTATTGCTTCGGCAGAGGGAATAGAATAACTGAGATATTGTTTTCAGATTTGAAAAGCTCGCAAAAAACAATTTGACTCTGTTTCCTGGGTTGCCAAACAGGGTTTATAAATTGCAAAAATATTGAAAGACTTTTTTTACAAGGCGAGATACTTGCTGTTCAAGAAACAGCTCTAACTTAAACAGGCCACCCGGCAACAAAGTTGGAGAAATAAGTGGATAAAAACACTGAGAGTTTTTCATCTCAACTACCCTTTTGAAAATTTGGTAGGTATATGCTTCTCAATGACTCTTTTTTCATTAATCTGTTCTTATATGTGTGTATATAGATATATGCATACTTTTGTTTTTTGTGTGATTTCTGGGTATTTGAGATTTGAGTTTTGCTCAGATGATGGCGAAGCGCCGTTTGAAGAACTTCAGCTTCTACAAAATTTATGTATTCCAGGGATTTAAACAACGATATTGATGGTGTATATGCCTGGTTTTCCAGGACCTTTTAAAAAATTATTCCTTTATTTTAATCCTGATGTTGATGTTGGAACAATGATCTTGATGTTTGTTGAGATCACATGATCTCTAATTCTTTTGAGTTGCTTATAGAATCAGAAATCTACTTGAATCACCAAATGTTTACCTTAAACAATTACTTTCCAAGTTGATTTCAGATCCTTGGACAAACTTTTCGTAGCATTCAAATTGTTGTGTTTCTTTTTCTGGTTTCACATACGATTGGTTTGACCAACTTGGATTTATTGCTGCAGTTGCAGTATAAATTCTGAAGTTGTTGAGGGAACCACAACAATGGCGGATGAGAATGGCTTGAATGGTGATACCAACACGCATGAGGTCAGCACATCTAAAAGCCAGGAAGAACCGGAGAAAATCTCTAGCGTGAATGGAGAAAATCAAGGCTCCGAAAGCAGCAAAGGAGATGAGAAAACCAACTCTGTTCCTCTTTACAAGCTGTTTGCATTTGCCGATTCAAGGGATACGGTTTTAATGATCGTCGGCACGATCGGTGCTGTCGGGAACGGTTTATGTATGCCCCTAATGACAATCCTGTTCGGAGATCTTATCAATGCTTTCGGACAAAACCAGAGCGACGACAGAGTGGTTGACGTGGTCTCCAAGGTAAGAGTTATAACTTATTAACAACCTGTATTTGTTTTTGAGATTCTGAAATGAAGGCAGAATTAACTAGATTTTTGTTACAAAATCTCAGGTTGCTTTGAGATTCGTCTACCTCGCGGCCGGGGCCGGGGTGGCGGCGTTTCTACGTAAGTAAAGTTCTCATTTTAGGTACTTTATGTCTCATTTTAACCAGAGACTGACGAAGTTTGGATTTGTTATTGTTTCAGAGGTGAGTTGCTGGATGGTCACAGGTGAGCGACAAGCTGCAAGAATAAGAGGCTTGTACTTGAAAACCATATTAAGACAAGATGTTGCTTTCTTCGATGTCGAAACCAGCACGGGAGAGGTCGTTGGACGAATGTCTGGTGACACAGTTCTCATACAGGATGCCATGGGCGAGAAGGTATGTATCAAATCGACTAAAAAGTCTGATGGGAATCGTCATATAGACGAAATCATCGAAATATTAACCTATTTTTTTGCAGGTCGGGAAGTTTATACAGTTGGTGTCCACATTCCTTGGAGGTTTCGTTATAGCATTTATCCGAGGATGGCTTCTTACCCTTGTCATGTTGTCTGCAATCCCTCTCCTTGTGATATCTGGTGGAACAATGGCTATGATTATATCTAAGATGGCATCTCGTGGACAATCCGCTTATGCTAAAGCTGCCACTGTCGTCGAACAGACAATCGGTTCGATTAGAACAGTATGTTCTACGTAAACATAGTTGTTGTTGTTGTTGTCGTCGTTATTTTCTTTATGTGAAAATATATGACCGATAATATACTCTGATTACAGGTTGCATCATTTACTGGTGAGAAGCAAGCCGTAAGCAATTACAACAAATTTCTTGTTACTGCTTACAAATCAGGTGTTAATGAGGGCACGGCTGCTGGACTCGGTCTCGGCGTTCTCATGATGATCATATTCTGCAGTTATGCTTTGGCCGTATGGTTTGGTGGGAGGATGATTTTGGAGAGAGGGTACTCCGGCGGTCAAGTAATTAATGTGATTATGGCTGTATTGACCGGTTCCATGTAAGTTAAAATTCGAGTTTTAACTTAATCAAGATGCATTCTTCATAGCTCACAGACTGAATTTGTGGTGGTTACGGATGTTTTAGGTCCCTAGGGCAGGCATCGCCATGCATGAGTGCATTCGCAGCCGGTCAAGCTGCAGCGTTTAAGATGTTTGAGACTATCAAAAGGAAGCCGGAGATTGACCCGTATGACATGAGGGGGAAAGCATTGGAGGACATTCGCGGGGATATTGAGCTGAAGGATGTGTATTTCAGTTACCCTGCAAGACAAGAAGAGCAAATTTTCAGTGGATTCTCTCTTTTGATTTCGAGTGGCACAACAGTTGCTTTGGTTGGACAAAGTGGAAGCGGGAAATCAACTGTAATAAGTCTGATAGAGAGGTTTTATGATCCACAAGCTGGTGAAGTCCTTATCGATGGCATCAATCTCAAAGAGTTTCAACTTAGATGGATCAGAGGAAAGATTGGTCTTGTTAGCCAAGAACCGGTGTTGTTTACATCAAGCATTAGGGATAATATTGCATACGGAAAGGAAGATTCAACCATCGAAGAGATACGTGCCGCTGCTGAACTTGCAAATGCTTCTAAGTTCATCGACAAATTACCTCAGGTTCGAATCTCGCCCCCGAAAACATGTTTAATTATCGTTTTGTATCACAAATTTGATAAAAGATATGAAAGCTTGGAACTTCATATGTAGGGGCTAGATACCATGGTTGGAGAGCATGGAACTCAGCTTTCTGGTGGACAAAAGCAAAGAGTGGCAATAGCAAGAGCAATTCTAAAGGACCCCCGGATTTTGCTTTTAGATGAAGCTACAAGTGCGTTAGATGCCGAATCGGAAAGAGTAGTGCAAGAGGCGTTGGACCGAATAATGGGAAATAGGACTACGGTTGTCGTTGCTCATCGTTTGAGTACAGTGAGAAATGCAGATACAATTGCCGTCATTCATCGAGGAAAGATGGTTGAAAAAGGTAGGTTAAAAGTATTGTTAGTAGAGCTTTATTCTTTTGTGCATTTGCCTAAGCACATTATCATATATTTTGTCATTGTTGACAATGTTTTGTGTATCGAGCAGGGTCACATTCAGAACTACTCAAGGATCCCGAGGGAGCGTACTCTCAGCTTATTCGACTACAAGAAATAAGCAGAGGGTCGGAAAAGGTTACGGATGTATCAGACATTACTCTGGAATCGTTTAGACAATCAAGCCTGAAAAGATCGTTGAAGCGATCGATCAGTAGGGGATCATCTATGGGAAATAGTGGCCATCATTCTTTCTCTGTATCCTTTGGTTTGCCTATTGGAATGAATGTCAATGATTCAACAATGGTAGATACCGAAGACCACCATTCCGAACGACCATTGAAGCAGCCTCCAGAGGTGTCCATTCGTCGACTTGCTTACCTCAACAAGCCAGAGCTTCCTGTGATTGTACTCGGAACTATAGCTGCGGCAGCCAATGGTGTCATACTTCCAACTTATGGTATCCTAATCTCTCGTGTGATCAATACGTTCTTTAAACCACCCGATCAATTGAGAGATGATTCGAGATTTTGGTCACTGATATTTATGACCCTTGGCCTGGCATCATTATTGACAAGTCCAGCACGAACATACTTCTTTTCCATCGCTGGGTGTAAACTGATACAACGAATCAGATCGATGTGTTTTGAGAAAGTGGTCCGAATGGAAGTTGGTTGGTTTGATGAACCAGATAATTCAAGTGGTTCAATTGGTGCAAGGCTATCAGCCGATGCAGCCACAATACGCGGCCTGGTTGGAGATGCACTTTCTCAAATGGTCTCAAACCTTGCATCAGCCATTGCTGGTTTGGTCATTGCTTTTGTCGCAAGTTGGCAGTTGGCATTTATAATCGTTGGACTAATACCTCTGATAGGGGTCAATGGATATGTTCAAGTAAGATTCATGAGGGGGTTTAGTGCTGATGCAAAGGTATGTTCAAAACTTACGACTTCGATATCTTAAAAAGAAGTATGTTTTTTACACATATAATTCATTTATGTGTTATATAAATGGTTACAGATGATGTATGAAGAAGCAAGCCAAGTCGCTAACGATGCCGTCGGGAGCATACGAACAGTGGCTTCATTTTGTGCTGAGGAAAAAGTGATGCAGCTCTATAGAAAGAAATGTGAGGGTCCATTGCGAACAGGGATAAGGCAAGGTTTGATTAGTGGAGCAGGATTTGGAATTTCATTCTTCTTGCTGTTTAATGTTTATGCAACCACTTTCTATGTCGGATCTCAGCTTGTCGAGCACGGTGATGCAACATTCACTGATGTTTTTCAGGTGAGTCCAATTATAAGACCTCCTTTTCGCTATATGTCTATATGATACTGAGACCGAAATTGATTCCTCAGGTTTTCTTTGCTTTGACAATGGCAACTGTTGGAATTTCTCAATCAAGCTCCTTAGCTCCTGATACTAGCAAAGCCAAGTCAGCTGCTGCCTCCATATTCGCAATTATTGACCGCGAGTCTAAGATAGACCCGAGCGACGAATCTGGGACAACACTAGAAAACGTTAAGGGAGATATCGAGCTTCGTCACGTCAGTTTCAAGTATCCGTTAAGGCCAGACATTCAAATTTTCCGAGACTTGAGTTTGTCCATCCATGCTGGCAAGGTAACAACATTACCATTTCAAACTCATTTATTAGCAGAAGACTGAATCATATGTAGTACTAATGTGTCAACCTTTTTCTTTCAGACTGTTGCCTTGGTTGGGGAAAGTGGGAGTGGCAAATCCACAGTGATTTCGTTATTGCAAAGATTTTACGATCCCGATTCGGGACTTATCACTCTCGACGGAGTCGAAATCAAAACGCTCCAACTGAAGTGGTTGAGGCAACAGATGGGTCTAGTGAGCCAAGAACCTGTTTTGTTCAATGACACAATCCGTGCCAACATTGCATACGGAAAAGGAGGAAATGCAACCGAGGCCGAAATTTTAGCTGCATCAGAGTTGGCCAATGCTCACAAGTTCATCAGCTCATTACAAAAGGTTAGGCATAACTGATTAAATCCGGGTTTAATTCAGTTCGTTCATACAGTCATTCTTAATCGAACTTTATTTCATTCAGGGTACGATACCGTAGTAGGCGAGCGAGGGGTTCAATTGTCAGGAGGACAAAAGCAAAGGGTAGCCATTGCAAGAGCCATAGTCAAAAGTCCGAAGATACTACTATTAGACGAGGCAACGAGTGCATTGGACGCAGAATCGGAGAGGGTGGTTCAGGATGCACTGGATAGAGTCATGGTGAACCGCACGACAGTGGTGGTGGCTCACAGGCTGTCGACGATAAAGAATGCAGATGTTATTGCGGTGGTTAAAAATGGTGTCATCGTAGAGAAAGGGAAACACGACACCCTGATAAACATCAAAGATGGTTTCTATGCTTCTTTGGTTGCACTTCACATGAGTGCTTCCACTGCTTAATTTTGTTTTTGTAGTAATAAATATTTTTTCTTTGATAGGAAGTATTTTATTATAAATTTATATGATAGAATCTGGATTTAATATTCATATTTAAAGTTCAACCCAACAGACAACACGATCTATCTGTTGTCGGGTAAAACGTCATGGATGATGACACAAATGAAATCCATGTTCCTTTGTTTAATAGAAAGACAGACTTATTATATACTAATATTTATCATAATAAAGAATTAGCATCTTCTAGAAAAGGAATAACTTGGAAACAAATTAGCATCTTCAACCACATATTTAATTAGCATCTCTCACCTTAAAATCTCGTTCCGCTCGACCAATCTCTCCATACATTTTGCCTTCACCTCAAAACCAAAATAAATTTGATCGAAATCCTTAAAAGTGTCACCGACAACCCTTTTCAACGGCCACCGATTTTACTCCACAAAATCTTGCACATAACATCTGTCTCGACTACGTACTGAAAATCAACTACAACGGGACCCTCACAATGAACTAATAGCCATGAATGGCAATAGACTACAGTTCTACATAGTTTTCCAACAAAGCACGATCCTAGAGACACATATATTTAGAAAGTTATCTCTTAAACGATGATGATCGAGTATTCTTTTTGATGATCTGAACAATAAAACAGTAAAAACCGACACAAGGGACATCTTACTCGAAGGCCACCCATATCGACCGATAGGAGGTGGCCAAACAAAGGTAGGGGACCAAAGAGTTCAAATCTAGATGTACATTGTTATGACATTTTTGTGACGAAGCTGATTTCGAATTCAAAATCAAAAAGTGAAGGAGTCATTTGATAAAATTTGGACATGAACGACAATCGTCGACGACAAACAAATATGATTTTGATCCTAATGTTAAATGCAAATCAAGTTTGAAGATACTCAGTTGTACTTAACTTAAAATATTTAATGATTATGATAATTTTTTTAAAGAATAATTATATTCAGATTAACATAAAATAATTTTGAAAAAAATATGAAAATGAAATGAAAGCGAATATTTGTTTAATTTGCTCGAAATAAAAATTAAAAATGATAACATTAATGATTAATTTATGATTTTTATTTAATTAATAATTAAAATGTAAATTTATTAATAGTTGAGTGATCCGATTTAGACAAAACGGGTGGGTACCAAAGGAACACTGGGCTAATGAGCTTCGTCTTTGGGACTTGCTTTGCCAAACATAGAGCAACGAACAGTGAGTTCGATTAAAAATAGTGGAAAGATTATTCTGGTTCCAAGTCTATGATAACTCAAACAAAAGATTCTCCTGTCTTCCTCATTTCTCATATATCTGGTTTGAAATTTCCTTAATTTATTTATGTTATATGCATAACGACCCTGGATTTAATTCATGGTTTTTAATAGATTTTAGAAGAAGGGGTTGTATTGAAGATTGAATTGAGGTGAAGTAGAGAGCTAAGTGATTGAAGTGTGGTGACCTTACGTGTGGGGATTCTTAAATATTGATTGATTTCTTCCATTTGCTTTGAATTGCGTTACTTGTTTTGGTCCCATCGTTTCACTGTTATCGTTATTCAATCAAGGAAAGCTTTGGATTCATTGCAATGGCTACTCCACCACAAGCTTCTCCTTCACCTAATCCTGCTAAACGTCCAATTACCGCTGCTCCGACAACCTCACCTGGATATGAGCGCTACCCCGGCCCTCCTGTATTTCTATCGACAATCCGGCCTGCTGCCATGCCTTTCCGAGCCTCTCATTCAGCTCCTCAGCCACTGGCTTTCTCATCAGGTTCGTGTTTGCCCACATCCTCCCCCCCCGGTTTTTCAAATGGATCAGTTGAACTTCACCAGCAACTTTCCAGTGCAATGGACGAATCGATGCCCGCTGGAGTCACCATGCGTTTATTCTCAGTTCATAAGGTATCTTTTTTATTCTGTTCTTATCCTTTTTTATTTTCTCCTTTTTTTGGGTGATTTAGGGGTATTTGGAATTTGGGTTTGCTCAAATATGTTTTCCCATGTTATAGTGAAGACGAAGCTTCATTTTAAGGAATTCAGCTTCTGCAAATTTTGTTTTGTTTTGTTTAAGTTTTGCAGTCAAAAACAGGGGATGCGTCTTATGTCATTTTGTTACTCTTCCATCTTTTAATATATGAATCAATACTACCCCAGCTGAGATTTTCAATTTTGCGGCATTTCAGTAATAAATAAACCATCTTCTCTTTTCTCTTCATCTTCCTTGGGATCTTTGTTGTCTGTTTTTTGGCTCATGGAAAAACTTAATCAAGGTGCTAAATTTATTCGTCCTCATCAGTTTTTTTCTAAAATATTATTACTGTGCATTGATGTCTTACAAGAGTAGACCTGTCCAAGATGGCAGAGTTTTTTTTCATTAAAACAATGATCTTGATTGTGTATCTGCCTTGTTTTCATGGACGTTGTAAAAAATTACTCTATGTTCTTTTTAATATGCTTCCACTTTCTTTTCTGTACTCATTCACACCTTTGCATGTTGAAATCTAAATCTGTGGAATTGGAAAACTGAGGTTTTGAGTTACATCAAACGGTCTCAAATTCTTTTTAGTTGCTTATAGAATTAGAAATCTCATTGAATCCTCAAATGTACCATAAACAATTATTTTCCCTACGGATTTCAGATCCTTAGACAAACTTTTCGTAGCAATTAAGGTTATGTTTATTCTGGTTTCACATACAGTTTGTTTGACCATTTTGGATTCAGTGCTGCTGTCGCAGTATAAATTCTGAAGCTGTTGGAGCAGTAATCAAACTTTTATAGCTCGAGGAACTTTAACAATGGCCAATGAGAATGGCTTTAATGATGATACCGACTTGCATGGGGCCAGCTCATCGAAAAGCCAGGAAGAACCAGAGAAAATATCTGGCGTGAGTGGAGAAAATCAATATTCAGAAAACAGCAAAGGAGATAAGAAAACCAACTCTGTTCCGTTATACAAGCTGTTTGCATTTTCTGATTCGAGGGATATCATGTTAATGATCATTGGCACCATCAGTGCCATCGGGAATGGTTTATGTATGCCCATTGTGACAATCCTGTTCGGTGATCTTGCTGACGCATTTGGAAAAAACCAGAGTAACAACAAAGTGGTTGATGTGGTCTCCAAGGTAGAGTTTTAACTTATTAATAATCTATATTTGTTTTTGAGTTTCTGAAATGAAGCCTTCGTTAACTAGATTCTTGCAAAATCTTAGGTTGCTTTGAGATTAGTCTACCTCGCTGTGGGAGCTGGGGTGGCAGCATTTCTACGTAAGTAATTCTCTCATTTTAAATATTTTTGTCTTATTTTAAGCAGAGACTGAGAAAGCTAGGATTTGTTATTTTTTCAGAGGTCAGTTGCGGATGGTCACTGGTGAGAGACAAGCTGCAAGAATAAGGGGCTTGTACTTGGAAACCATATTGAGACAAGATATTGCTTTCTTTGATATTGAAACCAACACAGGAGCGGTCATTGGACGAATGTCCGGTGACACAGTTCTCATACAAGATGCCATGGGAGAGAAGGTATACATCAAATTGATTAGAAAGTCCAACAGAAATCATCATATAGATGCAATCATCAAAATATCTGCCTACTTTTTTCTCAGGTCGGGAAGGTGTTACAGTTGGTGTCCACATTTTTGGTGGTTTTATTGTAGCATTCATCCGAGGATGGCTTCTTACTCTTGTTATGTTGTCCACAATCCCTCTACTTGTAATATCTGGTGGAACAATGGCTGTGATAATATCTAAGATGGCATCTCGTGGACAATCTGCTTATGCTAAAGCTGCCACTGTTGTGGAACAGACAATTCATTCAATTAGAACTGTATGTTCTACATAAAACATAGTTATTGTTTTCTTTAAGTGAAATGACATGACCAATTATTTGATCTGATTCCAGGTTGCATCATTTACTGGAGAGAAGCAAGCCATAAGCAATTACAACAAATTTCTTGTAGCTGCATATAAATCAGGCGTTAATGAGGGTACTGTTGCTGGACTCGGTCTCGGTGTAGTTATGTTGATCATGTTCTGCAGTTATGCTCTGGCTGTATGGTTTGGCGGGAGGATGATTTTGGAGAGAGGGTATACTGGTGGTGAAGTACTTAATGTGATTCTCGCTGTAATGACGGGGTCCATGTAAGTGAGAACTTGAGTTTTTGTTTTGACTTGATTATGCTGAAGTACTTAATGTGATTCTCGCTTTAATGACGGGGTCCATGGATGTTTAAGGTCCCTGGGGCAGGCATCACCATGCTTAAGTGCATTTGCCGCTGGTCAAGCTGCAGCATATAAGATGTTTGAGACCATCAAAAGGAAGCCAGCGATTGATCCGTACGACACAAAGGGGAAAGTATTGGAGGACATTCGTGGGGATATCGAGCTGAGGGATGTTTGTTTCAGTTACCCTGCCAGACCAGAAGAGCAAATTTTCAGTGGATTCTCTCTTTCTATTTCAAGTGGCACAACAACTGCTTTGGTTGGACAGAGTGGAAGTGGGAAATCAACTGTAATTAGTCTTATAGAGAGGTTTTATGATCCACAAGTTGGCGAAGTCCTTATTGATGGCATCAGTCTCAAAGATTTCCAACTTAGATGGATCAGAGGAAAGATTGGTCTTGTTAGCCAAGAACCTGTGCTGTTTACGTCAAGCATTAGGGATAATATTGCATATGGAAAGGAAGATGCGACCTTAGAAGAGATACATGTCGCTGCTGAACTTGCAAATGCTTCTAAGTTCATCGACAAACTACCTCAGGTTCTAATCCCTTGTCCGAAAAATATGATTATTTCTTGTTTTGCATCACAGATCATATAAAAGATGTGAAAACTTTGATTTTCATATGTAGGGACTAGATACCATGGTAGGAGAGCTTGGAACTCAGCTTTCTGGTGGACAAAAGCAAAGAGTGGCAATAGCAAGAGCAATTCTAAAGGACCCCCGGATTTTACTTTTAGACGAAGCTACAAGTGCATTAGATGCAGAATCAGAAAGAGTAGTGCAAGAGGCGTTGGACCAGATAATGGGCAATAGGACTATGATCATTGTTGCTCATCGTTTGAGTACCGTGAGAAATGCAGATATGATTGCTGTCATTCTTGGGGGAAAGATGGTTGAAAAAGGTGGGTTAAAAGCAAGTTTGTAAAACACTGAACTTATTGTTAATAGCGCTTTATGATCTCACGCATTTGCATAAGCACTGTCATATACCTTCTCATTGTCAATAACATTTTGTGCATCAAGCAGGGTCACATTCAAAACTAGTCGAGTATTGTTAGTAGTGCTTTATTCTTTTGTACATTTGCCTAACCATTATCATATACTTTCTCGTTGTTGACAATATTTGCGTATCAAGCAGGGTCACATTCAGAACTACTCAAGGATCCCGAGGGAGCGTACTCTCAGCTTATTCGACTACAAGAAATAAACAAAGGTTCGGAAAAGGTAGCAGATGTATCAGACATTACTCCAGAACTGTTTAGACAATCAAGCCTGAAAAGATCATTGAAGCGATCTATCAGTAGGGAATCATCTATGGGAAATAGTGGCCATCATTCTTTCTCTGTATCCTTTGGTTTGCCTGCTGGAATGAATGTCAATGATTCAGCAATGGTCGATACCAAAGACCATTCTGAACAACCATTGAAGCAGCCTCCAGATGTTTCCATCCTCCGGCTTGCTTACCTCAACAAGCCAGAGATTCCTGTGATCCTATTCGGAATTATATCCGCTGCTGCCAATGGTGTCATACTTCCAATTTTTGGTATCCTAATTTCCCGTATGATCAATATGTTTTATAAACCGCCTAATGTATTGAAAAAGGATTCAAGATTCTGGGCACTGATATTTATGACCCTTGGCCTGGCATCATTTTTGTCAATTCTAGCACGAACATACTTCTTTTCCGTCGCTGGATGTAAACTTATCCAACGAATTAGATCGATTTGTTTTGAGAAAGTAGTTCACATGGAAGTTGGCTGGTTTGATGAACCAGATAATTCAAGTGGTGCAATTGGTGCGAGGCTATCGACCGATGCAGCCACAATACGTGGTCTTGTTGGAGATGCACTAGCTCAGATGGTCTCTAACATTGCATCAGCAATTGCTGGTTTGGTCATAGCTTATGTTGCATGTTGGCAGTTAGCATTTATAGTCCTAGGACTAATCCCTCTGATAGGGGTCAGTGGATATGTTGAAGTAAAATCCATGAAGGGATTCAGTGCAGATGCAAAGGTATGCTCGAAACTAATGACTTTGATAGCTTAAAAACCAATATGTTTTTAATCATGTAATTCATTTTGATGTTATTTAAATGGTTGCAGATGATGTATGAGGAAGCAAGCCAAGTTGCTAATGATGCAGTTGGGAGCATAAGAACAGTGGCTTCATTTTGTGCAGAGGAAAAAGTGATGCAGATCTATAGCAAGAAATGTGAGGGTCCATTGAAAGCGGGTTTAAGGCAAGGGTTAATTAGTGGAGTAGGATTTGGACTTTCATTCTTCTTTATGTTTAATGTTTATGCAACCAGTTTCTATGCTGGAGCTCAGCTTGTCAAGCGTGGCAACGCGACATTCTCCGATGTTTTACAAGTGAGTCCATTTTTAAGACCTTTCGCATTGTATGTCTCTATGATACTGAGACAAATATCGATTCCTCAGGTTTTCTTCGCTTTGACAATGGCAACTATTGGAATTTCTCAATCAAGCTCCTTAGCTCCTGATACTAGCAAAGCCAAATCAGCTGCTGCCTCCATATTCACAATTATTGACCGCGAGTCTAAGATAGATCCAAGCGACGAATACGGGACAACACTAGAAAACGTTAAGGGAGATATCGAGCTTCGTCACGTCAGTTTCAAGTATCCGTTAAGGCCGGACATTCAAATTTTCCGAGACTTGAGTTTATCCATCCATGCTGGCAAGGTAACAGCATGACCATTTCAAACTCTTTTATCAGCAGAAGACTGAATCATATGTAGTACTAATGTGTCAACCTTTGTCTTTCAGATTGTTGCCTTGGTTGGAGAAAGTGGGAGTGGCAAATCCACGGTGATTTCATTATTGCAAAGATTTTACGATCCCGATTTGGGACTTATCACTCTCGACGGAGTCGAAATCAAAAAGCTCCAATTGAAGTGGTTGAGGCAACAGATTGGTCTAGTGAGCCAAGAACCTGTTTTGTTCAATGAGACAATCCGTGCCAACATTGCATATGGAAAAGGAGGAAATGCAACTGAGGCCGAAATTTTAGCTGCATCTGAGTTGGCCAATGCTCACAAGTTCATCAGCTCATTACAACAGGTTAGGCATCACTGATCAAATCCGGTTTAATTCAGTTCGTTCATACAATCATTTTTAATCGAACTTTGATTCATTCAGGGTTACGACACCGTAGTAGGTGAGCGAGGGGTTCAATTGTCAGGAGGACAAAAGCAAAGGGTAGCCATTGCACGAGCCATAGTCAAAAGTCCGAAGATACTGCTGTTAGATGAGGCAACGAGCGCATTGGATGCTGAATCAGAGAGGGTGGTTCAGGATGCACTCGATAGAGTCATAGTAAACCGCACGACTGTGATGGTGGCTCATAGGCTGTCAACGATAAAGAATGCCAATGTTATTGCGGTGGTTAAAAATGGTGTCATCGTAGAGAAAGGGAAACACGACACTCTGATAAACATCGAAGATGGTTTCTATGCTTCTTTGGTTGCACTTCACATGAGTGCTTCCACTGCATAAAATACTTTCTTAATTCTTTTTCTGTATATATATAAACAGAAAAGAACATGATAGGCATTACTTATTTTATTTCTGTAGTTAGAAATAAAGAATATGGAGATTTGGTTCTTGGCATGGAACAAGAGTAAAACTAAAATCAATTATAGCCTGTATATTTAATAATAATGTCACACGTCAACCAGTTTGTTCTGTAGCTGTTCGTCTGTTTAAGCAAGTCAAATATATGCATCGATGCATGGTGGACTTTGTAGGCTTTTAACTTGTTCGAGCTTGAAACCATCATTAAGTTTGAAAACAATGGATGAAAGAACCCAACTTTAAAAATCTTAAAGATTTTGAGTTCCAACAACTGCATTTATAGGATGTGTTTATGTTTTTAGAATCTAAGAAACAATTTGAACTATTTAATAATTTAACAATGTTAGACGTATGTTTATAACAATAATGTTGTTATCCCTAAAATTGTTCTTATAACAAACCATATTAGACGTATGTTTTTTATTTTAATGAGAAAAATGATTTTTTATAATAATATTTTCATTAATTAAATTATAATTTTTAGAAACTATTAGCCGTTCGTAACCGAACTGATAATTAAAAATTTTAGTGTACTTCATTAAAAAGAACGAATGTTGAAGGGAATGATTCCAGGGTAACTGCTGAACAGATAGGAAAATCACGGTTTGATATCCTCAATACACTGGGAAATGAGGAAGTGGCTGTGGATGAGAATCAAACTAGTGGGGAATTAGAGTCGGTGCTTCCTACTGGTTCTATGGATGTAAACCGAAACAAAGGCAAGTCAGTGGCAACTATGGAGGGAGCTCCGACAGGTACTGGCAAACAACGTGAAACTCATAAAAAAGGTGGTCTGACCATTAATGAACCAAGGCCTAGCTGATAATTAAAAAAGGTGCTCCTCACGGAACACTTCATGTTCCATCTATACCTATAGGTAATCACGCAGCTGTTTCAATATTGAACCAGGGAAAGGGAAGCAAAATTCAATTCGGAACCGAACTGACTCCGGAAAATTGGGTCAACGCAAAGGGAGTCGGGAAGATGCCGTGAAAGGATTACGTGTTAAAAAACAGATTAACTATAAAACTCCAGGTCGACCATTTTTGAATGATTGGGTTCAATCAGCAACAGCCAAAATAGATTCTCAAATGCGAGACTCTATGATTGGAGAACAAAGTGGATATAACCGTATAGCAGATTCTCAATTGGAAGGCGTTGGTGCTCGATTAAATAGCGCTTCACAGGCCGAGGATGGCCAACAAGCTAAAGTTTGTCTTAATGATTGATTGCTTGTTTTGGAACAGTCAGGGTGTTGTTAGCCCGTCTTATCGTCGAGATTTCAAGAGATTAATGCAGAAGTATAGTCCAAATTTTGTGGCATTGATGGAAACTCGAGTGAGTGGGATTCGAGTTGATGGAGTGATACGACGGCTTGGTTTTTCAAGCTCTTTTCGGGACGAAGCGCAAGGATTTAGCGGAGGGATTTGGCTTCTTTGGAATAATGAGGTCAATGTTACTGTTCTTTATACCTCGAATTTATCCATTCTATGGTGCAGGTTGTGGGGGATGACAGACCAGTTTTTATCACTGCTGTTTATGCAAGTACTAACATTTCGATCCGGAATTATCTTTGGGAAAGGTTGGAAAAGCTGAATCCGGTTGATGATAAACCATGGTTAAATGGTGGGGATTTTAATGCTATTTTGAGATCAAATGAAAGGCAAGGAGGTGCTACTAACCGGGATGGGGTGAGTAGGGGTTTCTCAAATTTCGTCTTTGATGCTGCGTCGATGGAAGTTACTTTTCAAGGTCCAAAATTTACTTGGGCGCGTGGTTCAAAAGAAGCAGCCGATGTTTCTGTATTCAAGGTAATAGTGATTCTGATATTCTTGCAGCCTTCTCTTTTTCTTTTCTTTTAGTCTGCAAGGGTAATAGAATATTGTACTGTTTTTGGATCACAGAATTTTGATGATGTTGTTGGAGAACCCGATTCAAAAAACAACATATGAAGCTGCTATTTTTGCTTCTGACTCGTGGAGAAAGGTTATTATCCCTTTCTATCACTTCAAATATTCTTTAATCCAGAGTAAGCTGGGTTTCCATCCTAACTGGTCTGTATGCAATCACAGACGAAAAGTGGGAATGGAATTGATCCAAATGTCAAAAAGTTGCAAGAAGTCAGTGAACCCACTGCGCATAATCAAGACATTGAGGTTCGATCTCTCTGATACTTTAAATTTTGCTCTACTTTGTGTGTTCTGGCAGCTCCTTATTGTTCTGTTCCTTTTCTTGGAAACTCTGAAGGAGGGAGAAGAGGAAAGTGATTCAGATAGCCGACAACAAATGGTGGATGGTATTTTTTCCTCCGGCCCTAAGGAATCATATGAGCTCCCTTCTCCAGTAGAGCTCATTCAACTTGCTTTTGCTGGGGATGATGTAGCAGAAGAATTTGAAAAGGATAAACAGGAGATCTTGAATGAGGGAAACCCCGAACCAGATAAACCTGTTTTGCTCCCTGGTTGGGGCCAATGGACTGATGTACAGGAAAAAAAAAAAGATTTGCCTTCATGGATGCTTAAAGAACATGAAGATGCTAAGCGGAAGAGGGAAGAAATACTTAAAAGAAGGATGCACATCTTAATCATGTCATTATCTCCGAAAAGGTGGATAAAAAGGTAAGTGGTCTAGTTTTGTTCTTCCATTTTTCATTTAAAATACATATTTGGTTGTGTCAAATGAGCCAATTCTTTATCTATCTGTGTTCATTAATATTCGTCACAAGATCTGCAAATTTCATTCATACTGATAGGATGGTTTAATTGCACTCTTTGCGGTTGTAAAATGGTCGAGTTCTCTAAATTTATATTTTGCAGGCTGAGAAGTTGCAAACAAAAACTTTGCCCTACCCCTTCACATCCAAGGAACTTTTTGAACAAAGTACGCGCATGCCAGTTGGATCTGAATGAAACCCAGAGACTGCAGTTAGAAGTCTGAATAGTCCTGAAGTAAGTTCATTTTTTTCAGAACTGTAATCCTCGGAACTTAATATATTTCGTTGGAGAATTGGAGTGCTTGTTCAGTTATTTTACGCGGTGGACATAGAAGATATTTGTAAACTATGGAGTCGACTTAGGAAGCTATTTCTGATATTCCTCTTTTTCCCATTTAAATCTCCTATATGTTCATTTCATGCAGTATTAATTGTATCTACCCGCCTGCTTGTTTTTCATACACAGGTGGTGAAGAAACCTGGGGTAATTATAAAACCGATCAAGTTCGAGGAGGTGCATCGTCACGAGAATTCCGAGGATAACAAGCGGAGAGGGCAAAGACAGAAGAAAAATAGTAGCAAAGGTGCTACTGGCAAGAAATAGAAGACACACACGGCAACTGGATCTCATCTGGTCCACACACACTTTGAATTATTAAGGCTGAAGAGTTATGTCTTTAGGTAAAGCTAAGATCGTCAAGTGATTTAAGATGCGCGGGAGAATGATTATATATTAATTTGAGAGTTTCATTTATTATTCTCTGAAAATTTTGTAGTATTAATTATTTCTTAATCTACACCAATTAAGAAAGGCTCAATCGCTTTTAGATTTGATGTTACAAGTTTGAATATTCGTGTCATTATCCATAATTTAGCACATGAATTACATCTATGTTCTTTTTTTCTTTTTCTTTTTTTTAAATTTATCTTCTTTGATATTGAAATTATCATTGTCTTAAAAAGTTGATTCACTCGTCTAATTAAATTAGTGCAATGTTCTGATCGGGAGAGATTATTCAACGAAATTAAGGGAAAGAATTTGAGTTTACAGATATAGTTTTATCATTTAAGTTTTATTTATTTATTTTAATTAAGTTTGTAAAATTTGAGTTTAGTTAAATTGAATATATTTGTTGAGATGTTATTTAAATCTGAGTGTAATAATTAAATATAATGTTATGATATTGATTGTTTTCAACTTAAAAATAATAATTTAAAAGAATTATAGTAAGAAGATCAAATTAAATTAAAGAAAAAAAACCTTTGTTGTGAGAAAAATTGAAGTAACACGTTAATATTATAAAGGGGTTGAAGACGTGCAGTTTAAATTTAGTAATAATGGACTTAAAATTAATGAGAAATTGAAAAAATAATGAAATAAAAGATTACATAATAACCAAATTAATTAAAGATTAAAGCAATGTTATTTTAATTTTCAACTCAAAATTCAAAAAATCAAGTAAAAATGTAAATTAACTCAAGTAATTCAATAATTTATCTCTAATAATTCAACATTGTAAAAAAAAATACTTTCTAAGTCGAATCAATACATATGCACACACAAACTGCTAACAAAAATTAATTTCCAGATGGTGGAGACTGAGAACAGAAGACTTTTATGTATTCCAAAAAGAAAAAATATATATATTCTCAAGACTTCTTATGTACATGTAAATGGGAAAATTAGCAAGAAATAACAGAACAGAAAGGAGAATTTCATTGCAGGCTCTAACCAGAAAACAAACCCCCCAAAAAAAAACATATTTACATTTAGAGCTCCTCAAACCCTTCCTCATCGCCATCTTCCTCCACCCTTTGAAGCTCTCTCCTCCAAGTTTCCATCTTTTCCAAAAATGCAAATACGTCATTAGTTACACGCCACTTAAACTCACACCATCAACGAATGAGACGGTTATTATGTACAACACAAAAGCAAGCAACAAAAGGAAATGTGAGAAACAATATGAGCTGAATTAGTTGTAATGACACCTTCATCTGTAACTTAATGCACTCTCGTGCTTCACAATTTGAACAGGAAAAAAAGAATCAATTGTACCTGATCATCCGAACACCGCAATTGCTCTGCAACAAATAGTATGTTCTCAGAATCACCCGGTTTCACTACCTTACCTAAACGTTTAGCTACTTCATCGTAGCTAATCATTTCCACCTTGAAACCGTTGCTCATGAAAAGATTGTCCATCCATTTCTGGGTACTGGACTGCAACAACACAAAAACCAGACATGGGAGTGTGTTTCCTAAATAAAAGCAATATAAGTAAAGAACAGATACAAGCTATGAAAAACACAACAGACCTTGTTACCAAATTCGGTCTCTGCCAACCATGCAGGCAACTCTCCCAAGAAGAGGCAACCCTTCATGGCCATTCCACTGGCTGTTAATAATATCTCTTCAAAACTTGCCAAAGTCATCACAGGCAGTCCCTACAAAGTCAAAAAATGAAAAAAAAAAAGTTTTTCTAGGTAAAGTTAATCCTTAGAAGTTTCGGCTGCCAAGCATTGTAGAAGCCATTTTCACCTGTATAGCCCATATGCTCGGACGGTTACCATTAAACCCTTTCATAACCAAAGTTTCTTGAATATTAGGTGATTCCAATGGAACATGAAGAAGCAAACATCTTCTCGGGATCTTCGCACCGATACCTAATTTTGTTCAAGAACATTCTCTCAGAACATGAACTACTTATCCAACCCAAAAACCAACCATATATGCAATAAAAATATCAGATTGTCATAATTCCCGACATACACAGAAAACATACTAAAGGAATTGCTTGTTTCTCTAAAATATATATCATACCATAAATAAACTAAGCAGAATTAAGTTCAAGAGTCAGGCACCCACCATTCAGCTTTTCAGTGGCCTTTTGGAATACCCTTTTAGGGGATATATCGAATATGATGGTTGAGCTTGGCCAGTTAAGCCTGTATGGCCGAGTATCCATTCCATCTGATAAAAGAACAACCTGCAATTTTCACAGTGAAAAGTTAAATTTCTACTGCAAAGAGTTCGATTCAAGCTCGAGCTTAGTCAAATCACCTGTTTAAGCCCATCTATGTGGTTTACAGTACGAAGCAGTTTGTCATCTATGAATTTGGTCGCAATGCAATACTGTTTCGATTTGTTTTCCAAATCCATCCTAGTGTGGGGCAAAACAAAACACCCGGCATATGGGTCAACAAAAAGAGGGTCTGCATGTAAAATACATATTATTCTTAACCTTAGTCGAAAAGAAGGTAATACGTTGAGTGAATTGGGGGGATTTTTTTTGCTTGCCTGGTCGTCGGGTCTCCTGAAAACGAAGAGAAGCTGAATTGATGGCCGACTGGAGCAATGGGTCATTGTCATCGCTGAGTTGAGCTCTGATTGAGCATGCATTTCTCTGCTTCTTCTTCCTCTGGGTGTTGGAGAGGAATAGTACTGCGACTGAAGTCGATGGCCGTGACGCCGTCGCGCACGCAAATCGGAGTAATTCCATATTGTCTTTGGATGGATGTGATTCGTTTCACTTTATGGATTTGGAGTTTGAACGGCAGAGTTTTGATGAATTTTTCATCATATTTGGTGGTGAGCGTATCGTAAGGAGCGTAAAACGGGGGCAGTTGCAGAGCATCTCTTTACTCACTATCATATTATTTTAGGGTAAATTACTTATCTAATCATCTGACTATTAGTAATATTTTAATTGGGTCAAACGATTATAAAATTCATAATTCCTTCACTCAAATACAAAAAGTTAAAATGATCCATTTCCCCCTGAAATTTCATTAACAGATAGCTATAGTTAGGGATGCAAGCCATATATATATTATGTACACTTACAAGTCATTAAAGTTTAATTTAATTTTTAATAAAATTCAATATAATAACACCACCATTAAATTAAATACTATTATATAAGCTTAATAATTTTAATCTATTGCAAAAGTATATTTAAATTAATAAAGATTAATAATTATGTAATAAAAAAACATATTCAAAAGATACATATCGAATTATCAGTCGATCTACGTCGATTTCATATACAAAATTTATAAAATGATATGCACATAAGTTAAAATTATTAACTTCCACCCACTCATCAGCCACCACTTTCTTCTTTCCCTGAATCTTCCTCTCTTTCTGTATTTTATTTTTATTTCCTTAATTCTAGGTTTGAAACGATTAAGTAAATAAACCAATTACCACTAGAAGGGGGGGAAACAATGTGTTAAATATTTTTATTATTTGAGTATTTAAATTTTTAATCAAAATAAATAATTAACATTTTATTCTATAATCTTTTTCAAATTATCCGTTAAAAAATATTATTCTTCACCGATGAATTCTTCAATTCTTACCACTTCAGTTACTCAACTAAGTGGTCCGACATTTACTCCAACTACGTATTCTGCAACTGACCATTTAGAATTGAAATTCTGATTTCGCTTTCGAATAAATGAGATTTTAAAAACAAAGTAATTTTTAACAAACTTTTAGGGCGTATGGCATTTGATTTTGCAAAACGAAGTATAGATCGAAGTTGATATAGTGGGAGTAAAGGAGTTCTCAACATACTGATTCGATCCGATTTCAACCACAGCAGTTACATGAAAGATGCTGGCACAAATTGGCAGCCATCAAAACGTATTTACTACCAAGCTGCTGGAAAGTAGAAATAGGTTAGGTTGAAGATCAATTACGAGCTTACTAATTAACTCATTAAAGAAAACTGCATGGTTTTGCTATCGGCAACCAAAATTTCTTTGAAAATTGTGTAAGGTTTGAAGAACAACAAGATGACACCTGAAACAGATATAAAGGAGGTCCCTAAGCAAAATAATAAACATTAAGGTGGCTGGAGAAAACACTAGATCGATTTTTTCATTCTTCCTCTTCCCCTTCGTTCTCGGCAATATTGAAGTAGCGGAGTTCATAAACGGAACGATCCTTGTTGGAGGCAATCACCCGAAGCCAATCACGAACATTGTGCTTCTTCAAATACTTCTTAGTCAAGTACTTGAGGTACCTTGAAACCAAACAGAAATCTCAGAGATCAGTCAACTGAAACTCATATGTCAAAAATAAAAAGCTGGTTCTTTTCTTTCACAAACAACCCAATAAAGGTCTCAGACATCCAAGGAAGGATTAAAGCAGCAGTAGCTCTCAAGCCTGGCGAAGGCGAAAGCTCTCAGGCGGCCACTGCGAATGTTTTGAGAAACAAGCCTTAAGGATTGTCATCATCGACCTTAACATTAATCCTATTCTATCCGTAACAATAAGCAGCTAAAGTTATCTAAAATATTAACATGATATACAAAATCTTACCTTAAAAACTCAAATTCAAGTTACGTAGCAAACAAAAACCCATTTTGTAACAAGGTTCAATTCAATTTCTAAGCAAAAATGCAACCAAAAAGGGAAATTCAAGGCAATAGTGTCAAGGTCTCAGACATCCAAGGAAGGATTAAAACAGCAGTAGCTCTCAAGCCCGGCGAAGGCGAAAGCTCTCAGGCGGCCACTGCGAATGTTTTGAGAAACAAGCCTTCAGGATTGTCATCATTGACTTAATCATGAATCAAAAAGAGTTAAACCATCTCTGTCTAAGATTCAAAGCCATTTTCAAAATTTAAAATTCAGAGATGCGGCACACGTGCTTTATCCATATTACATCTAAAGGATGAAAAGAGAAATGGGGAAAGTACCGCTTGGAAAAGTTGGAATCCGACACGATGGCAATTCTGGTCTTTTCGCTGGTGATAGTGACGGTATCACCGAGTGCACCGGCTTTGCCACCGACCTTGATCCGATCCTGGAGGAACTTCTCGAGTGAGGCAATGTCCATGATCTTATCTTCAACCGGCTTAGAACAGTCGATGGTGAAGGTCGCTCCCTTCCTCTTCCCCTTGGGTCCGGCTGCTGCCCCACGACTCATCTTTGCACCAACTCACTGCATTTCGATTGAGTCAAATCAATTAAAAAGGAAGATAAACAATAAAGAGGAAGGAAGGTTTAGAGAGAATACCGTAGCTGCCACTGCGTATTCTGAAGATAAAACGGCGGCGAAGTTGCAAATGCCGGTAGCAGAGTGTATATATGGATTTTCGAGTCTAGGGTATAGCAGGATTCTCATTTTGTTTCTAATTTTTGGGCTGGAAATGCTAAATGGAATCAAATGAACAACAAAAAATCATATGTTGTTTGATCCAACCCAATTTAATTTTAGCACAGCCCAAATTTTATGTTGGTATATTAGGATTCATTATTAATTCTTATATTATATATAAATTAAGGATTTAATTTTGTATTTTAAATTTTCAAACATTTAAAATTTTAATCACAGTCCATAAGATAACTGTTAAATAAAATTTTGTTATTAATTATATCATTATGCATCACATAATTTAATTTAATACGTATTAATAAATTCAAAACATAAGTGATTGAAATTTTATGTCAGTATATTGAGTTTATGATCAGTTTTGATAGTATACATAAATTACAAATTTAATCAATATATTTTATTTTAATTTTTATTCTTAGAGATCTCAAGTTCAAGCATCAGAGATTGTAAGGGTGTTTGAACTTTTCATTATCAAATGATTGTGAATCTTTAGAACATATGCTACCTTATAATCACTTATATTAATAAAAAAATTAATTATTATCTAAACAACAATAATTAAGTAAAACTATTCTATTAATCATGTCATGTATTTATATAAATTATATAATTAAATTTTATTTTTCAATTTACTTATTTTCTTAATTTAATTATATTATTAAATTAAGAATTAAAAAAATACAAGTAATCAAATGGATTAGATTAAAATATAGGATAAACTATTTGAATAATTCCCTTTATTTTTAGTCTGACCGACTTTGATCACATGTAATCACCATTTTTACCTCTCCATTCCAACAGCCCCTCCACGTTGCACATTCCAGCACCTTCCAGCAGCAGCCACGAAGCTACCCTCTTCGAAGACTCCAGAAACACCACGCCGGCCGTCCACGTCGCAGCTATGGGGTGAGTCACCACATAGTTTGGTGACTCACCAGATAAAACCCTTTGGACTGGTCCGATGAGAGACTCGTCGAGGCTTATAAAAGCCATGGAGAACCTGCAAAAGAAAAAGGGAGGAGACAGAGAGGGCACCCAAAAAAAAACAGAAACGAAGAACCCGAGAGAAAGGGGACACCAACAGAGGGGAAAAAGAGGAGACCAACAACCAGCAAACCAAGAAACGGAAAATAAACGAGAGAACGAGAAGAGACTTACCAACATCGTCGAAGCCTCCACTCGCCACCATACGCCTCTAAAGCACTCGAAAACCGGAGGTATAAACTGTAGATTTGCTCCGATTAGGAGCTTTTTAAAGAAAACAGAGATTGTATTCGGCCTTAGGAGGTCGAGATTTGTAATCTAGGATAATTTGGGAATTTTCGGCCACCGGCGGTGGAGCTCGTGGCAGCGTATGGCTGCCGGCGGCTCCCAGAATTCCCTCAGACGAGGGAAATATAGAGAGAGATGAGAGAATTCTCTCATAAGAGAGAGAATTAGAAAGAAAGAAAAAGAGAGAAATGGCATTTGAAGGTCGGTTTTAGGAAAGGCTGGTTTTAGGGTATTTGTACCCTCATCGAAATGACACCGTTTTGATGAGGGGCCTGGGCGTAATTTCACTAATGGCTAAACCACACGCGCAGTCATCCTAGTTTGTAATCTTTTCAATTTAGTCACCAGAATCATTCTTCTGAACATTTTAATTTGGGCTTCTAATTTTATTCTATTATATTTTAGTCATTACCAGCTTATATTTATATTTAAGGTAAAATAACCTTTTTAGCCCATATTAATTTTAAATTTTAATTTTTATCCATTATAATTAAATAGGTTAAATTATACTATTATACATAGTAGTTTATTAATTCGAATTATGCCCTTTAATTTTGATATTTTATTTTATTTAGTCACCAATTTTTTGTTTCTTTTCATTTTGATCCTGATTGTTTTTATACATTTTGCAATTTAATATTATTACTTTTAAATTTATTTTAAATATTATTTATTTATAATATTAATTTGTTATTACTTTTATATTATTATTTTTTTCATATTAATCACATAAATAAATATATAAATATATATATATATATATTTATATATATATTTTTTAAATAATAATGTTTATTTATTTTCAATATCAAAGAAAAAGGCAGTCTTAATATAACTGGATGTCCTATTCTGGTATTTTAAAATTAAATATTATAAAAAAAATTAATTATTATAATATATATCGAAGAAAAGAGCTGTCTTAAGGTACCTAGAAGTCCTTTACTGATATATTTTTAAATAAATAAATATTTTATTTATAAATATATAAATTAATATTTTTTTATAATTATAATTTCGAAATAATAAGATTATAAATTAAATATATTTTGAATTTTTAAATTTATAATAATAGAGACAATTTATAATTAAAAAGTATCAATTTTGGGCGTTGTAGGGGTGCTAATCATTCTCTAAACGTAACCGACCACAAATCCCTTTTTATTATTAAAAAGAAAGAATTTTTGGTTATAAACGCAGATCAGTTCATCTTTTAACTGATGTTTTCTTAAAAACTTTGTTAAAAGATAATTTTTAGGTATTCGACCTACCTGACCCAAAAGGCCGATGGTGACTCCCAAATTATTTTTCAAAACCATTTATTCACATCAATTTTCCCGTAAAGTAAAAAAATTCATGCCCGGACGAAAACCGGTTACGACAGCTTGGCGACTCCGCTGGGTACGATGTCAAACTTTAAAATTAATTATAAATTGTCTCTATTAATTAGAAATTAAAAATTTATTTATTTAATTTTTAATTCTTTTCTTTCAAATTCTTTATTACTTATTATTTTTATATATTATTATTTTTTATTTTATTATATTCAAGAATTAATTATTTTATTTTTTTTGTTAGAGGTTTTAACATTTCTCCTCACACATAACACTTGCATTGCATAACATAAAGCTCTATAATTGAGTTTGTCCCTTTTAAGTGGGAGTGAAAGCGACGTCTTCGTGAGAATTTATTCTCCGTGTCAGACCTAGCAAGTAACTTTCGGGATTCATATGCTCTATGTCTTCGTGAGAATTTATTCTCCGTGTTAGTCATAGAGAAATGTGTCCCCTCGAATTGAACTCGATCCGCTTAAGTCTGTAATGGACCAGGATTGAGGGTTTGACAGCCCAAGGGGGCATCAACAAGGACAATTCGAGTACCTTTACTCCTAGAACTGAAACTCTGCATATAATAAACCCTAGAAACTCTCTCGATCTGAAACCATGCCAGTAGGTATACACAAAGGAGAAATAAGCTCTAGCTTTTAATTTATTTTATTTTATTTCCTTTTCTTTTTCCTGAATAAATGTATGCGAACTAGAAATCATGCGGTTAGGTTAAATTTTCCAAACAAACCATGGAACTAGAAAGCATGAGGTTAAGATTTATACCTTGATAGATATATTTTTCATTAGTTAGGTACTAATTATTCTATTTTTGTTTTCTTATTTTTCCATGCATGTTACATTGCTCTAATTTGTTTATATTCTTTTGTCTGCATTACATGATCATGGCATAACCAAAAGGTGTTGACTTGAAAGACTGTTCATCAAATTGGAAAGAAATCGTAAATGGACAAAAAGTCTTATGATCAAACAAAATATGATGCGGCCAAGGAAAAACATCCTGAAGAAACTACGAGGATCGAGGGAAGTTCTGCACACAGAGATCCAGTTATATTAATACCAAAAGTATTACACAAAGATACTACCAGATTGATACCAAAAGCAGTCTACAGTAAGAGTATCAGTCGGGATATTCAGAGTAGTGGAGGTTCTTATGAAGCTCAAGCATGTTATTTGAAGGACTTGAATGACCAAAACAAGAAATTGAGCACAGAAATGAAAACCATGCATGAAGATTTTCAGAAGATCAGTCAAACCTTTCAAAACGCTGGCCTAGGAAGTACCCCAGAAGAGTGGATCACAGGGGTCACCAAGCTAAAAAAGAGCTGCAACATATATGAAGATCTTGTTCAAGAACTTCTAGGACAGAAAGGTTCTCTTACAAGGGAAAATGAGCAACTCCGAGAAGTGACACAGAAGATAAAGGAGAATGTCATGGAAGAAGTTGCAGTCCAGACAAGCAATATGTCCCTTAAGCTGATAGACTAATTTGGCTTTGGAGAAATTAGGAATAAAATATATCCCTATATGTAAAGTTTTGTTTGATGTACCGAAACTTTTGCGTTCAATGAAATTTGTTCTAAGATGATCACTCTTGAGTAACACCTTTTCATACATGCATTTGTATTTTTCATTTGTACATTTTTACGTTTGTATTTACATTTACATTTTTAAATTTACATCATGCATTAAAACATATTTAATTAAATAATAATGTTTATTTATTTTCAATATCAAAGAAAAGGGCAGTCTTAATATAACTGGATGTCCTATTCTGGTATTTTAAATAATTTACATTTACATTTTTACAATTGCATATTTACATTTGGCATATTTGCATTTGTATTTTTATGTTTGCTTTTGTATTGCACAATTTGTATTCTTATTATTACATTCACATATTTACATTTGCCTTTGGAATCTTTGCATTTTTTTATGTCATAATACATTAAAACATTCATTAAAATAAGGATTTCAAATGAAGTGATCTTGGTTTTTCCTTGAAGCAAGAACGCTTAGCACGACACAAGAAAAATGTCTAAAGAAACTGAGGATAGGCTATCCAAATTAAAGATAGAGCAAAAAGAGATACAGGAAGAATTGAGGAGCAAGTAGGCACAAATCGAAGCTAATTCTCAGATCGATCTACTGAACAATATGAAAGAAATGATTGAGAAGCATTTGACTGCTAGAAAGAATCTTGTTGAAAACTCCACAAATCCTCTGGGTATTACGCCTGCTCATATTCCTGAGCACACCTCTGTACGTCAGGAAATCCAATCACCAGTTCACTTCACTATTAAGAAACAACAATATCAGGCTGGAGTTTCGTTCCCCACTGACTGTCTTACTGCTTCTGGGTTAAAGCCAAATGAATTCTGTAATACTTCTAGAGAGACGA